ACAACGACAACGATGACGATGACGACGACGACGTAGTTTAATCGCCCATTGAGCGCCATCTGCTGGCGTCAGTTGGTAAAACTGATGCTGCACTGCATCCTCTCGCCTCGCCCATCCATTAATGCCAAGTCACAGATCAAAGCATTTCAAGCGCAACAGTCAATCAACATTTTTGTTGCTGCACATTTTGCTATAAATTGTTTTTGTTGTTGCCGTCCGACGTCAGTCAGCCTAGGCCAATAAATTGCCTGTGCCCGGATCTCTTCTGGCCTGAAGCCGCCCTCGCTTCTGACTGCCCCAGCCTGGGGGCTAATTTACTTAAATGTCGACGCCTGGCGCTGATTTTTGTTCACATTTCTTCTGTTCATTTGCATATTTGCTTTCTTTTTGGCATAAATCGATCATAAATTTAATTTGAAAATTGCCGCTGAGTTTAGTTTTTGCTTGCTGGGGCGAGGCAACAACTCCAAAGCCATTATGCGTATTTATAACTCAATAAAACTTCAAAAGTGTTCGAAAACATTCGCTCTCAAAGTTTGTTTAATGCCATAAAAATGCAGTTGTTGTTCTTGTTGTTGTTGCTGTTGTTGTTGCTGTTGCTGTTGCTCCTGCTGCCTGTCTAGCTATCGTTGTTGTTGTTGCTGCTGTTGCTGTTGCTGTTGTTGATCAGCGTAGACACTAAAACTTGGCCATTTATGGACTCTATAACTGGGACTCTATAAGGGAAGCGGAAGTTTACTGTATCCCATTTATATGGGATATCAAGTTTATTTGCTTTCATGATCGGCTACAAAGTGGAAGCAACATTTTTAGTGTACCATTTTTTGGGGGCTTTGATCTTGAAAGTTGAATGCACGAATAGCTGGAATACGACTCTATCAATATGCATCAATATATTCATCAAATAATACGTCTCCAACTGTATTAAATAGTTCAACTAAATAGTTCTTAACCATATTTCGATTTAATGCAATACAAATTTACTTTAGAGCCCGGTGTGTCTCTATTATGGCCAGGTTAATTGCAACGACAGCTGCCAAAACAACAGCAAAACCGCGCAAGAACAATAACAACAACAAAGACAACAGCAGCAGCAAGAGCAGCAACAGCAACAACAGCAACAATAGCAGCAACAGCAGCAACAGCAACAGCAGCAACAACAGCAACAACAGCAACAATAGCAGCAACAGCAGCAACAACAGCAACAGCAACACGAGCAACAAGGACAACATTATTCGCTTCTGTTGCCAGTGTCAGCGTCGTCGTCAGGCAATGGCAGTAGAATTTATTGTTATAACGGTGCAATGATAACAGGTCGTCAACACAACTGGACAGGTAAATAAATATATTGTATGTGCGAGCATATACAGCCCGAATCGAGGAGGAGCCCGAGCACGTTGAGGGGCAGCCGCGAAAAATAAGCAGCGTTAATTACGAAAGGAGTTGCTCAGCGAGCGAAGCACACAAATTCATAGGTATCCTTTCACAGTTGTTGGCGCCGCAAGTGGCAGGTGTGTTGGGGAGTGGGGTGTGGGGTGTGGCACGTAGGTGTGGCTGCAACGCCAGCTAATACTCGCATTTAATTAGGCTTGCAATAATATTTATGTAAATCGGGCCTGGCTCCAGGATGACGAGCATAGCAACAGCAGCTGTCAATATTTTTGCTTGGCGTTTTTGGGCAGCTCTGTAAATGATTTGATTACAACCACATACGTTGTATATATGTGTGTGTGTAGCATTGTTGTCCTGGCTCGCAGTGTCCTGCATCTGCATCTGCTTATATATATACATATATGTGTCTGTTTGTGCGTCCTTATCGCTAAGCAAACAGTGCCGCATTCAGTGCTGTTGTCGCCATCTCGTTTTGTTTTTCTTGTCCTCCGTCCACCGCGGGGACCACCCGCAAAATCTGTGTCCACTGCTCGCGACGCGACACACGACGGCTGCTGTTGGGCATATTTTTCATTTTCAAGCGATTTCTTTTTCCATCTCTTTTCGGTTTTGGTTTTTTTTTTTTTTTTGTTTTCGCATTTAATTTTGTTGCTTTTGACACCGAATGGACCCAGGCCTGGCGCGACTTTGTCAACGCAGCAGCCGAAAAATTGTTGAGAATTGTAATGAATCCGCTGAATTAGCAAACCAAGCCCAAGTTCAATGTGGCACATTGGAACAGAGATGGGAACAGAGGGAGAGAGAAGGGAAGGCAAAAAAAGACAGCAATAGTACATCGACTACATCATCGGAGGCTTGATAGAGGCCATAGAGCCATGGGTGATAGTCACCGACTCCTCTTACTTTGACAAATTATCAACGTAGATTTATGATCACTATATAACTATATAGTATATAGTATAAACATAAGCCATATCTCTGTTCGAATTTTGCTGCAATTGAGCAACATCTTGGGCTAATATCAGTGTTTTTCAAAAGATCCTCGCAGTAATCAATCCAAAAATCTATTGACTCTCATAACTTTGCCAAAACTCATCCGATTTTCAAAAGCAAGGGTTTTTTGATCAAGGTTTGACCTCTAGATCAAGGCTACATTAAAATTTGAAAACGTGATTACGGCTCAAAAATCAAGTAAAAAGTGGTCTTGAAAAAACTCACTTGGGACTGATCCAAACTTTCCACAATCATCGTCAAAACTCAACAGATTTTTTTAATTATGGTTTGATCTCAAGATCAATGCTACATTTAAATTTTAAAAGCAATTTTAGCTTGAAAATCATGTCCTAAGAAATCGATGACAATATACAAGAAGTGTAATTCACAATTCAAAAGTAAGTTGTTGTGTTGCACAGTGTAGTTCGCATTGAGCTCACTTTCAGGCCTAAATCCAGCCCGACTAGCTTTGGCACACTTTCCGCTCGCACTTCAGCGCTCATTTGTGTGATATGATGATGACTGTGCCCACCCAGAAAGGCATTGAGCATATGGCTTGGCTTGGCTTGGCTTGGCTTGGCTTGGCTTGGCTCGAGACCATTGAAAACAATGGCCCAATGGCCCTTAGACGAGAGCTCGTGCTTCAGCTGAAGCTGAAACTGAAGCGACACCTGAGCATAGTTTAGCCCACATCGATATCAATGCCTGGCTTAATAGGCATCGTCGCAGTCTGTCCAGCGGGCATCTCAATGCCGCTATGGCGCCACGCGGGTTTCTCAAGTGACAATGGATCCAAACATGACAGCCGCATAATGGAGGCGCAGACACTATACACTATATACACAGAGACACAGAGATAGAAAAAGACCGTGACAACAATTTACGCATTTTGCTCAACGACAACGACAACAGCAACATCATCATCATCATCATCATCATCAGCAGCAGCAGCAGCAGCGATTTTATTGACAGGCAGGCAGCAGCCACAAAATACTATTTGGCAGTTAATCAGTCAGTCGACTTGGTTGGGTAACTGGTTCGTCGATTCGGCTAATAAGCTGACCATTTTTTATATATTTTGCACCCATCATTAGCGTTACGCACTTCGAATGGCACTTTTGTGTTTTACTTTCTACCAATTAACTGCAATTGTTTGGCAATTAGGGGCGTGGCCTTAGCTTGCTGGGGTTTTCGTTCAGTTATTTTAACTAAAGATTTATAATTTACTGTGTATTGTTTGGCTACTAAAAGTCGCCAGTGAAAGCTAAGTATTTTTTAGTAAATGGCTTTTAACTTTTTTCAGCTTTGTTTGAGTTACAGCGTGGAATTTTACAGCGCTTGATTCTATTCGATCAGGTTCGGAAAAAAATTGAAATAGTTTCCAAGACAAACTATTTTTGGATTGGAAAGAGAACAAGGCTAATTGATTTTGTTTAAACGTTGTTAAAAATAGCTGTAAGTCAATTTCCAATCGCTTTTTCTATCCAAGCTCATTTTCATGATAGAAATAGAAATAGTTTAAAATACTGTATTGGCAGCAATAAGATACAAATGTAGCAAATAGTTTCTGAGCTAAAAATGTATAAATATCTAAGAAATAATCATTTTTTGATGGCACATCTCAACAAAATCAGTCTTTTTATTAAATAAAGTGAATCAAATATTTAAAATTAATATGAGTTGTGTCTGCTGATTCAGAGCTTTCCTCCATTGTTGTCGAGTGTTGCAAGACAATCCGATCCAGTTGGACTTTTGTACATCATTAGTATACTATATAGGTGAGATCACGTGCAATTTGATCGAGTGCAGTTTATCTGATATCCAATTGTCTCATTTCAGCTCCTGACTCATTCATTGAGCTCATGAATCGCTTCTTCTTCGTACTTCCAGTATTTCTGATTGTTATTTAATATCGTTTGATATTTTTTATCAGCAGCTAGACGAAGGAATTTGCGTATGCTATCGATTTCATCTGAAAAGTCTGTTTTTATGAATTAATGCCATGTGTAAGTGCAACTTTGATTCTGGCTTACAATGGAAATAAAACTCGCCGTCAATTTTTGTTTTGTTGTTTTTTTTTTTGTTTTTTTGTTGATATTTTAACATAATTTTTTTTTAAATACACTTTTTTGCTCATATATTATTATTATATGCTAATTTGATAATGGTTTTTATAATTATTTATAATTTATTATTGCTTACGTAGGCTAGGCTAGTTAATTATAATAATATTACTAAGCGATTCACTATCATAATATGTTGTTAATTAGTTTTCATCTTTCATATTTTCGGTTTTATTATTTTTTAGTCGGGAAAGTGTAGCAAAAACTCATCACAAAATTGCATACCAGACATAACTACGCCCTAAAGTGATAACAATTATTAATAGTTAGTTAATTGTAGTTAATAATTATGGTTGTTTTTCTTTTGTTGTTGTTAATACTACGATTAGATGTATATAAAATTAACAACTAAATACGCTCGCTTGGCCAACACTTCGTATACGCAATTTGCCAGAATGAGAAACAAAAACAAAAAATTTTGTAAAAAACAATAATAATAAAAATAGAATTAAAATTTCTTAAAACTTGACATTGAGATACTTTCTACTGCTGCTGCTGCTGCTGCTGCTGCTGTGAGTCATGCTTGGAAATATATTTACAGGAATATACAAGAGAGCACAGCGGCCACGCCTTCGTATTGGTGAGGTTAGGTGGGGGGCTGGCGCAGATTTAGACGCCATACTTGATGCCATACTCCTGATAGTGACCCACATGATGGGGCCGATAATGGCTGAGATTGCTCAGCTGCCCCAGATTGCCCAGATTCCCGCTCAGGTGCGACACATGATGATGATGATGATGATGACTATTGATGACAGCAGCTGCCGCAGCAGCGGAGGCAGCCGCAACGCTCGCCGATGCCGGCGGACTCGCCGATTGTATTGAGCCCGTCGGACTGCCCGTGTCCAGTTGGCAGGATTGGTTCTGCTCGAAGATCATGTCGCGGAAACCCAACGCCGAACTGGGACTGCTGGTGAGCACCGCATTATTGTTGTTGTGGTTGTTGTTGTTGTGCATGCTGCTATTGTTGTTGTTGTTGTTGTTGCTGGGATGTGTGGGCGTGTTGTTCTGATTGGTAGCACCACCAACTCCACCCGGACCATTTGTGATGGGCTCCGACGGCGGCGTCTCTGGCGTATACCAGCCCCCGTGCGCCGGTCCATGTGGCGTTGAGATCGTTGTGGGTGAGGCGCCCGAGGATTGCACACCAGGACCACCGCCGCCGCTGCCATTGCCGGGCGTCAAGGGATGTGAGACGTGTGCGACATGTCGCAGCTGCTGGGCATGATGGGCCGCCGCCGCATGATGGACATGATGCATCTGACTGCTGGCCACGGTCAGATTGTCATCGTTCAGATGATACGGATAGGCGCTGTGATGGATGCGCGGATTGTAGACATTCATCAGGGAGTCGACAGTGAAGCCAGCATGCTCCACGCCGCCAGTTAAATGATTCATTTGCGCCAGACTGTCGTGGCAGGAATTGAGCATGGCCGCATGGGAGACATCCTTGCCGCTTAAGCAGCCCAGATCCATGAGTGGCTCCTTCTTGAAGTGTGCCGCATGTGCCGCCATATGCTTAGCCTCCAGTATGCCATTGGTCATCAGCTTGAGTGGCTTCATCTCGGCGAGCTTCTCGTTCATCATCGCCTGCCGTTTGATCGCCTCCTCCTTCTCCCGCATCACGTCCTTCTTCTTGAAGCGACGACGTCGCCGCAGAAACGAACCATTGTCGAACATGTTGTACGAGTCCGGATCCAGTGTCCAATAGGAGCCTTTACCCGGTTTCTTATCATCTCGCGCCACTTTGACGAAACATTCGTTCAGGCTGAGATTGTGTCGTATGGAATTCTGCCAGCCCTGCTTGTTATCCCTGTAGTATGGGAATCTCTCCATAATATACTGATAGATCCCATTCAAGGTGACCTTCTTGTCGGAGGCATTCTGTATGGCCATCGCAATGAGTGCAATATACGAATACGGCGGCTTCACAATCTCCTTGTTCTGATGCGGTGCACCCAGGCCATATGCACTGGCCGAGTACGGATAACGCGAATACTGATCGTAGGCATAATGCGCTGCTGCCGCCGCCGAAGCGCTGCTCGCAGCTGCCACAGCCGAGGCAGATGTGTAGCCGGCGGCCGTTTGCGCATAGTGGCGCGAGAATGAGTTCTGATCACTGAACAGCGTATGCATTATCAATCCGTGCAACTTGTGCTTATATATATAGATATATATATATATGTATAAATATATATATTTAATTGCGGACGGAGCCGCCACACAAAAAGTCAGGCACAAGAACTTTTCAACTTTCTTTTTCCTTTTTGCGCACACTTCACAGGGGGTTTTTCTTTTGGGTTTTACTTTTTATTTTTTATTTTGGTTTTTTGCTGCTGCGCGTTTATTATTTGTTCAAATAATATTATCTTAAACAAGTTGTAGCTGTGTATCTATGTATCTGTATCTGTATCTGTATCTGGTTCTGTCTCTGTAGCTGTGGCTGTGTGCAACAACAAGAGGCAACAAGCGCTGCGGACGTGCTGCGGCGAAGAACCGTTCGGGATAGTAACACGTCTGATACTGAATCTGTGTAACTGAAATAACATACAGCTCGGCAGCAAACGAATCTCGGCAGCGACTGCGACTGCAGCAGCGCAGCCAGCGTCAGCAGCAGCGCTCTTTCTGTATCTGTATCTGTGTGTGTGGCATGTATGCGTGAATGTATTTGTGACCAACCACCGACGGCAGCAGCACGTTCCAGTCAGTAAGTGAAGACCTACAGCTATGTGTGCGCAACAACACACACACACACACACACACAGATACTCACTCACACAGATACACTCCACACAAGGTGGCCGCCATTCATGATTTTAAACATCCGACCGCCTTTCGCCCTGTGTAAAGTGGCACTCTTTCTCTACGGGTTTTTTTTTTCTTTTTTGGGGGGGAGGTAGAAATAGTTGTTCTATCAGTTAGTGCTGCTGCTCCTGCTCCTGCTCCTGGCCCTGCTGCCTCTCGGTTGCTCTTGTTTATGTTGTTCAAACTAATGCTTAAAATGCGGCCTAGCCAGAACAGCAGCAGCACTCTCGCTCACACAAACTGCCCGGCCAGGCAGGAGTGAAAGGAAGAGCAATACTATTGCCCATTGCCACCTGGACAGTGCAGACAAGTTACAGGCCTAAGAAAAAGAAAAAAGAAGACATTTTGGGTGGCTTTTTTGGTAACTGCGCTGACTGCTGCTGTTCTTAGTTTGGTTTTCGAAGCAAGCATTCCTTTTCAATTTTAGATCTTTTTTTATAGCTTTTGTAAATTTGCAATTGGCTGCTTTTCTTTGGCATAAGCTTATCGGCAAATATAGTATCATGACATCAGATACAATTTTGACTTGAATTTATTACATTTCTCTTGAGTTAAACCAGATAGTTAATAAAATTGTAGATATTGTTTTAATTTTTGTATACAACTCTTAATTGAAAACTGTAAGTTAATCGATGTTGTTGTTTATATTTGCACGCTCTCGCTAAAGGATAAAAGGCGTGAGCCTTTTTTTATGGGAAGCCCCCTTTTCCCCTCTTTTTCTTATATGTTCTCACGTTTTTTTCTCATCATGTCGTTTGTTCTTTTGTTGTTTGTTTTTGTTATGAGCCCAAGCAATTTTTTTGCAGACTACATTTAAAATTTTTTTTTTGTTTTTTTGTTATTTGTTTTTTGCTTATTGAAACAATATTTTTTCGTAAAACAATATTTATTGACTTTGTCAGCTTTAAAGTAAATTTTAAATGTTTATTTGGGCAAATGTGAGTGTGTGTGTGTGTGTGTGTGTGTGTGTTTATAAACATGTGTGTGTGTCTTCGTGTGCATATAGATATATTTTGATAATTTAAAAGTATAATTAATTTCATATGCATTCAATAAATTGGCAGCTCATAAAAAACAACGCTTGTGCATATCGAAACGGTATATTCTCATCCTCTTTTTGGCTATCTTTGTCTGTTATTGTTCTCTCCCCCGTCTCCCCCGTCTCTTGCTGGGCGCATTTCGATAACCTGGATAATTGATGCAAGAATAATATTTGGCTCTATTAGCGCAATCGCATTATTTTGACAAATATTTTTATTGTTTTAACATAATTTTTCGAATGCGAGCCGAACGAAGGCAGGACGAAGAGCGATGAAACAAAAGGACGTGAAGTGGACCGTTGCCTTTTGAGCCTTTTGAGCACCACATGTGATTGAAGTGAGTCCGAGCCCGGTCATGTCCTGCTCAAGAGTCCTTGGCTGCATTTGAAATTCGAATGAGGCTGCAACAAATGCCTTGCCTGCTTTTCTTTTCACCCAGCTCAGCTCCGCAATTTCTCATTTCTCATTTCGCCATTTGCGAATTTCATTTTCTTGTTTTTTGTTGGTTTGTTTTTTTTTTGGCGTCATCGACGTCGCTGCTGATCTTTTACATTTTTTTCTCTTGGCATTGGAGCCTAGAATGTGTGTGTGTGTGTGTGTTGGGTGTGTGTAACTTTGTCTGCCTCTCAGCACTTTGCACGGTTCATGTTATTTTTTGCATAGTTGCCTCGCCCGGCTGTCCCAATCGGTGTTGCAGTCACTGCCACAGTCACAGTGACAGTCTCATGTGGCAGTTGAATCTGAAGCTCTCGCATTCGTAAATCCCGCTCCATTTTGTCTGTCATTTTACCTATGAAAATATTATTTTAATCTCTCGCAGTCCTCACAACATTTTCTCCAATTCCAGTGAAAGTTTAATCAGACTTTAACTCGTGGCAAAGGTGAACTTTTCAAGCAAGCTTAGTAATTATATTCAAATGTTCACAACTACTAAATTTCTGTATAGATGTTTTTCGATAAGGATCAGTAAAGTAGCAACCACAAAATTGACATATTCTGCTCTCTTTAGTTTTTCTTCTTCCATCTTAAATTTCTCTTCTTTCATCTTTCCATTCGATGCAGCAACAATAAATCATTGAATTTCCTCATCCGCGTCGCTAAAGCAAATACAACATCAAGTTGCGTGTGTGTTTTTCACTTCTCACTTTTCACTTTCACAGAAAAAAAAAACTTTTAATACAATTCCATATAGATTTTATTATAAGTAAGATTTTTCATTATTTAATCGAACAAATCTTCGACTAGTTACTTGCTTTACTATGCTAATTGTTAATTGACTGTGTATTGACTCAATGATTTTTGTCACCCACGCCCAAAAAAGGGATCGATTTATTTGTATTTAATTTGTTGATATGTAGCCAGATTAAAAAGAGTTTTATGGGGACACAAAAAAAAAAATTCAAATACAGAACTTGTTCAACAAATTGTTGTTAATTGAAGAAATAAATCAAATTCGTTAGAAACCGATAACGATAAATATGATAGCTCTTCGCTGGCGTGGTTGATAAAACGCTTGATCTGTCACAGGATCTGTGTAATTAAAAATAATAATACTTGTATTGTACTCATTTTACAATATATGCAAAAGAGACTGGAGCAATTTTAAGATCCAATTCTGTTTTGATCATGTTTAGGCCTCAAGAATAATTCAACATTAAAATTGAGAAACTAGTTTTTTAGTCGATCCTATGTCAAAATTCCGTGTAAATAATTTTTCCATGTAAATAAATTTACCAAAAACTTTGTCAAAAATGAATCGATTATCAAAGCAAGCTAGATCGGTTCAAGCATAATGTATACGATGTATGTATATAACATGTATATACATGACCCTTATGGTATATAATTTTTTTTAATATCAAAGTTTAATGAACTTAATAATTTGCAAAAAATGTGGATTGGCGTTCCAGTCACGCTTTTTGCATATGAAACACATTAATTTGACAAACATATTCGTTCTGGAACGAAACTCGTGGCACAATCGCATCCAAGTTGGGGGCGCATGCCGCAAAAAAAGAAAAAAAATAGCTGGCTTGTCTAGCTATTTTGCACGCTCAATTTGAGGCAGTCAACAGAACGTTGACACCGCCATTGAAGTATCCACTTACTGCAAAAAGCGAGGCAGAGGGGAGTGCGGCTAAATAGATACATATATAGATAGATAGATAGTTAAAAGTGTAGAGGACAATTTGCAACACATGTCGACATGTCGAAGTGAGGGGCGTGCAAGCGGACAATGAGACGGACAAAGGGAGGAGAACATATGGCAATTCATTGCCTATTAAATTCAGCAATTTCAGTCCTTTCTTCTTTTTTTTGGGCAGATTTTAGTATTTTTACTTGGAGTAATCTAAAAACAATATTTATTTTAAAGCGCTGAGTGCACGAAGTGCCCTAATCAGACAGTTAACGGCACTTGAGCAAGGCACACACACACATACACACACACGCTCATAGACAGAGAAACAGGATTTAAGCTGCAACAATAATAAATTTTCTAGCAAAAAAAGAAAAAGAAGAAATTGAAAAATATCTTTCGCTTGAAAAACGCGCACTCCTAAAAATGCTGATAAGGCGAAATATGCGCACGCACACACATCCACACACACACACAAACACACACTCGCCTACCAGCACAAATACAACTCTGCTTCGCTGCTCTCTCATGAATATGCATGCGACGTCGACGCAGCGTCGCTGCTCGCTCTGCTCGGGCCAATAAAGCGTAGACTCTGACAAACACACACACACACACGCAAACGAATGCGCAGCCAATGGTAGGCGTGGCCTGCAAACTGCAAACACAGCAGCGCAGAGTTATACAAAGAGAGAGAGAGAGGGCAAGAGCATAGCAATGGCGCATGCATTGCACTGCTTGCACACTGCACTGGCTGCTTTTGTGGTGGCTTTTTGCCGTTGGACAGTTTTCCCAGGGTTGAGTGGGTGGCGTTGGGGTTGTGGTATGGTTTGTGGCAGGGGTTGGAATGGGGCTTCACACAATATTGGTCACTCATTAAAATTTATGATTTGTATATATATGGATCGAGCGCTCATTATGCATACGTAGTTTGTTCGTTTCATTTTTTCTCGTTTTTTTTTTTTGGCAAATTTAGCAGATTAGTTGTCGATACAAGATTTTTGGTTTGGTTGTTCCAGGAAATTTGGTTAAAGAAAAAGGGGTTTTGCTAGCTGGGAAATTTTCGCCATTAGTTTAATCATAATCGTAATCATAATCGCAATCATAATCATGGCGAAAATCTTCCGGTCTTACGGCCATAATCATTCGGAAATTCAGTGGCAAGACGGCGGCGCTAAATCGCCGCATTACCTGAGGACTACCACCTAATGCCCGTCCAGCACCGGATGCTAATCATCATAATGCTCAAATGCGCGCAAAGGGGAAAACTTTATGTTGGCTGCTTTTTGGGTTGGCATGTTTAGACTTTAATGCGCGCCGCGGGAATTCTTAATGAAAAACGAACAGCGTTCGATGAGGAATTTCCCCGGACTTAGCCCGGCCAAGTTACCTGGACTCTGACTCCTGTTTTAAGGGACTCGTGCTACTTCATGTGTTCGGTTTTTCCCTCCCCCTGCTGATAATGATGATGATGATTATGATGATGATGAAAAGTCTCGGCTGCTGCTGGTTTTACTTATGCTGCGCGTGTCCTGCGGTTTTTGTGGCTTATTTGCGGTTTTACAATTTTTACTGCCCAGGCAATGTAAGTGGGTGTTCCAGACTTCTTCGGGCCCGCTGCTCGTCCTGCTCGGGGAGCGGCATTGAGGTGTGGACTTTTTGCTTAAGTGATGAGCTGTGATGCTTGAGTTTTCACAATTGCAATTGCTTTTCCACGAATTTTTCGTTGCCAGAAGTGCCCTCAATCTAGTCAAGTTGAAATTAAGACTAACTGTTGTAATTGAATTTTTTAATTACATTACATTATGTTGCATTTGAATTTGCTTTTAAATTAAAGTATACCACATTTTCATAGCTCGAATAAGAGCTCTGCTTGGGAGATTCATATTCATTCATCATATCTCAGCGCTCCAATAATTCATTCACAACTCATTGATACCTGGCTAGAGAATAACTCAAAAACACTTTGCATTACAACGCTTAATTCATTCATAAAAAACAACGTATTCAATGCCGTCTCGAGACGTCTCCAAGTATTCCATTCAACTGTAACTTGTCTTGGCCTTATTATTATTGTTGTTGTAGTTGCTGTTTCTGCTGCTGCGGCTGCTGCTGCTGCTGGTCTAATGTTTATTTTATAAATATTCCCTGCCATGTTATTCCAACGAGACTTTTGTTTATTTATATGGTGGATATACTCGCGACATACTCGAGACTTTGTCTCTGAATGCTTCGAAATGCTATTTAAAATTGCCAATAGAATATTGTATTTGAATATTCCTTATAAAATGTCGAAATCATTTGCCGCAAAGGACTATTTCTCATCGTAAACAGGTCTCTGCGATTTCTGGCGATTTGCTGTGCGCAGCCTGTGAAAACATTCATCATTCGTCAGTTGAAAATCCTTGCGAAAAAGTATTTTTAATTTCGCATAAATTTAAAATAAATAAAAACTCTCTGGTCGAGCGTATAGTTTAAAAAAATGTTTATTTTAACGCAAAGAAAAATGAACATTTTCTCCTTTATATGGATTGTTTTTTTGTTGTTTTTTTTTTTTTTGCCAAAAATAAAAATGTTCAAATCATTTTATTTATTTATTTATGCAGGCTGGTGGCTGTGGCTGTGGCTGTTGCTGCTGCATCTTCGATTTTGATGGATTTTGTGCTGGCCAGGATTCGTTTGTGGTCCTGTGTTCGTCTGTTTATTTGACGCACAAATCCTCTTACGCCGGACTCGGCCCGTCAGCTCTCGGTTCGATTCGCAACGGAATGAAAAGGACAATTGCATGTTTTGATTGCCGACTGCAATTGTCCTGCCACTGCCGTTGCCTCTGCCTCTATCGTCCTGTTGCTGCTGCTGCTGCTGCAGCCTGTGCACTTGTGACAATATTTTCATAATTTTTGCATCTTTTTTTTTTGTTGTTGCTGCTGCTGCTTTTGCCTTTTGCTGTTGTCATCGGCGCATCGTCAACGGTAGGTGCGTGTGTAAACATTAACTTTTCAAGAAGATTTAATCCCGATTATCCTTTGACTGTACAATTTTTCTTAACTCAAAAGTTACCTCGTCTCTCTCCCTCTCTCTCTCTCGTTCTGTGTTTATTTTACGGTTTTTGTCCAAGGATTGAGTTGTCTTCGTTGTCCGAGAATCCTGGCTTGTGTGACCTCTTCTCATCCCCGTCTGCCGTCTTCCCTTCTTGGCTGACTGACTGATAATTATCAATGGCGACGACTTCTTGATGCGATTTCTGCGCGCTTCTCGCTCGGCTCTCGCACAATGGCCAGCAGCTTTGGATGGTGTGTTCCATTTGACTCTGGACGAGATTTTAATTTGCCCATAAAGGTGAGACAATTAACTGAATAATTGGATTGCTAATCTCTTCAACAATGTGCGGGGCTGTTGCCTCTAAATTAGATTTGTATTTACAGCAATGCCCAAAATTGTTATCCCTTGATCTTTTTGAGTTTGCTTTGTGAAGGGGAGGATAAATGCATAATTTGCATTCATTTGAATGATAATAGACTATTTTCAACTACGGTTAGTTTATCTCATAAATTTACATCTTAAATTCACAATTCTGAATTCAAATTCCCTATTAAATCGCTCAATAAATGTTGTTTGTAAGTCGCTTAAGAAAACGATTCACAAAGAATTTACAAAGCACTAATTTCTTCACAGGATACGCATATACATATGTATATACATATACATATTTATAGGCAAAAATACCAGTATTTTAAATACATCTGCTATAAAAGATTTTACATCATTTTCGCAATTTTATTTATTCTCAGCTACAAAATTCAGTGTTGCCAGACTACTGAAAATACATTTCAAATTCAAATGAAAATAACGTCTTGTGTTAAAGCAGTGTTGTTGTAAGCAGTGCACTGCTTTGTGCGCGCTGCTTACCTCTTGCGAGTCATAATTTCGCGCAGCGCTGCTAACTTCACATAACGCATGTGTTATGATCACATGAAGTTGGCTGTGCGCAAATTTGCGACTCATACTCAAATTCGCTGCGCGCATTTTTCAAATATATCAAGTCATAAAAATACACAGCTCGGATATGCAATGAATACGAAATCAAGATTTAAATGAAGCTGCCTTTAATTTTTTAAATTATTTCGTATATATCCTGTATAATTAATAAAGATCAGGATATAAATATTTGGTATAAGCTGTTTGTTATGCGTTTGCAAACTGAGCAATGTTTATTTAAATTTAAGCAGTTGATCACAAATAATGCTTGACTATTTGCTTTAGAAATACTTGCTAATTAAATATATTTATATATGGTATTTATTCGATAATAATTCCTTTCTTTTTACGCACTAAGCAACTAATTTTTGTCTGCAACTACTTAGGAGCTAACATTAAAATTGATTATCCTTTGAGGTAATAATGAAGGAAAATGAAGGAGTAACTCTAGCTAATTACTGCTACTAACTAACTATTTAGTATTTGATTGTCTCATAGTATTCGCCGTTCACCGATGTCGGGGGCGGAGTCATCGGCCGCAGGTAAACCGGTTTCAAATCGATGGGCGAACGATCCACGGCAAGATTGCCCGTCTGCGATGGCGGCGGTGTCATGCTTCCATGATGCTGCTGATGCTGCTGATGCTGCTGTTGATGCTGATGCTGCGGATGCTGCTGCTGCAGATGATGGTGATGATGATGGTGAAGATGCTGCGACTGCGACTGCCCCGTCTGTATGGATGACAAAGCGGGCAGTTGCTGCAGCGACATGGAGCGCAGACCTGAAACGACAAAAGGAAAACAGGAGCACAAAACAGCACTCGATTAAAATGCGTATTCTGCTGTTTTATGATACGGCGTTAAAATTCACAGCGGCAGTAATAAAATAGACGACAGACAGACAAAGAGACAGCCAGCAACAGCATGTGTTGCTATGCGGCGGTAACCCAAGATCAACATGATTCTCGCATAACCCACACACACACACACACATACACACATACACACGGAATGAACTCTGTCAGCCTCAGTGTTGACAACAAAACAAGCTAGTTTTTGGCCTACTGAAAAATAGCTAATTTGAGTATTCTTTTCAAGCTGCAATATATTTCTTTAATTGTATTATTTTTTGTAAAATGAGAAATATCAATTCCTTTACCAATTAAGCAAATATAAAGCGAAAAGATAGAAACTAAACAGGAATTAGAAATGCTGTTAAATACATTTGCTCAATTTCAATGTATCCTTTTCCTTTTCAGTGTAGAAAATGATACAATTCCTACTCTACAACACTTCCCACCATTGCACTTTAAAACAAGCCAGAAATGAGTGTAAAAAATGAAGCTAAATTGACAACACTGGTTGGGGCAATTAGATGTGTGTGATTGACACGGACACCCAGGCGGACTGTGACTGGTACTGGGGCACTTACCATTATCCAAGCCGTTGCCACTTGTTGCATAGGAATAGCCAGCGGCCACGAGACTGGCGGCTGGTGCATAATCACTTTGAAGCGCCGCCACCGGCGAACTGGAGGAGCCCAGGGCGGAGTGGGCCAACGGGGGTGTGGCAGAGCCGTTCAGATGATTGTTGCCCACCGTCGTCAGGCAGGTTATGTTGGAGTACTGCGGCAGGGTGGCAACCCCCACTGCCGTCGAGCCACTGTGCGCCGCATGCACATTCCACGGATCACTGAAGCCCTGAGCCGCCGAAGAACCCGCCCCAGCAGCGGCGCCATAATCATAACTGGCATATGTAGGCGCCGCATAGAAATTGGCATTGTCCTGCAAGGAGTCAAACATAAGAAAAGACATCTGGCTGGTGAAAAGGATGCGTGCTTACCATGCCCGCATCGCCATAGCTGCCGCTGTAGAAACCATTCGCACTGACGGCATATGTTTTGACTTTGATCTTGGAGCGATAGCCGCGTGGACGACGTCGCAGACTGCCCTCATCCTCGAAGAGATGTGCCGAGTTCTCGTCAATGGTCCAGAAATTGCCCTTGCCCGGCTTGCCGACGCCCATGCCCTTGGGCAGCTTCTTGAAGCACTCGTTCAGGCTGAGATTGTGTCGCACCGAGTTCTTCCAGCCCACATAGGGTCCGCGAAAGAATTCATAGCTGCAAGCCGGCAGAAATAATGCAAGTTTATTTATTTGATTTTCAGCTGAGTACCCAATAACCAAAATCCACACTCATTCATTCATTCACTCATTCATTCTAATGAGCTTTGAGTGTCGGACACAGAAAATCAATTAAAAATTTTTTGGACACCGCAGACTTGGCAACAAACAAACAAACAAATCGAAATCAGCTCGAAATTCTCTCACGCATTTGCTCCCCAATTTCTCCTGCCGCCCCTCTGCTACCCCTCCCCTCTACCATTGTCTGATATTGGCCGTCGCGAGTGTCGCCAATATCCAAACACATAAAGTGCCAAGCGCTGAGAAATATGAGCAATCAAAAGGATGTGCCTGCCTCGATTCGAATCATATTTTGTTGACTAAATAAAATCGGAGGCAAGTAAATGAAACCTTTGGGCGACACATGAGTGGCCGCCTGCCTCTCACATGTATCTGTTGTTGCTTTTGTCCGGTGTTTGTTGGCTGGGGGTGGTGTCGATGTCGGTAATCGTTCCCAGCCCGACACTTGAGCTGGAGACGCTTGTTTCGGCGCTTGGGAATGCAATTGCCGATAGGAGGCTACGACTGGTCCACCTTTAGGGGCTGACAACCTCAGTGTCTAGACTTTAGACGAACTGAGTCTAAATTTACTCATAAAAAAAGATTGTAGTTAAGCGAATTTTGCCAAATATTGTCACAAACAACTATGCTACAAAATTAGATAAATTATCAATCTCAAATAAAGCATAAATCTGATATATTTCCAAGGACTGCAGCATTGAGAAAACTTGAAATTTTTCTTAAAACTATCCTATAAAATTAGGCAAATTATCCATTTTCTATAAATATAAGGAATATGCATAAATAATTATTCCTTTGGGTATCAATCAATCAATTAAGTTCCCTCAAAATGAATACTTTCTGTGTAGCTTTTATCGTTATGCAGTCGTCTACTGATTTAACCAATTTGAGAGGCATTTCAAGTTCTTGGTCTCAACATATGGTCACTAAAACTTGAAACTTGATATCCAACATTCAAAGCCCGCAGCTCAAGTGCCTTATGCAATTGTTCCGATTGTATTTTACAACAGAGGAATTCAATCAGAATCGGTTGAGATCTATTTCATTTGGTACCCACCTCTTTTGGAGATAAGCATAGATCTCGCTGAGCGTCAGTTTGCCACTGGGTGACTCCTTGATGGCATGTCCGATCATGTTGATGTAGCTCAACGCTGGCTTCTCGGGACGACGAGTGCCCGACTTTTTGGTCGTATCCTGCGTGCTATTATCCTGTGCACTGGCAACACTCACCGCCTTGGGACTCTCATTTGTTGGCATCGGCTCTGATTTGGCTGGCGAGGAGCTGGCACTCGAGTAGTTCAGATGTCCATGGGCATTTGATATAACCTGCGTGGGAGAGGCTGACATCCGAGGAAGGTAGCCGGGAGAATTCTGCTGCTGCTGCTGCTGTGCTTGTTGTTGTTGCTGCTGCTGCTGTTGTTGTTGCTGTTGTTGTTGTAGCTCAGCACCGTGGATGGCCAGCTGATGGTAATCATTGGCACTGAGAATGGTATTGTTGGAGCAGTATTTGATTGTGGACGCATATTGATGATTCATGGGCTGTAGTTGCAGTGGCTTCACCACCGGCGAGCTGACATACATCTCCTGATCGGTTGGCGTCTTGGAGCTGGAATTGGGCGACACCGATCCAACAGAATGAGAGGACATGAGTACACCATATGGTGGTATGGGACTCGAGGATGCCGGCGGTGTTCCCATGCTGGGCAGGGCACTCAAGCCATATTGATGTGTGGTGTTGCTCGTCGTGGCTGTGGTGCTGGTGGGCGTCACATTGCCCGACGCATAATATTTGCGTTCCATGTAGCCAATGTTGGGCTTCTCATCCGCCAACTCAGTGGGGGAATCACCGCCCATCAATTGAAAATTGCCAGCGGGCAGTGAATTTCCAGTGCGATACAAATGCGAGGTGCTGTGGTGTGTAAACGTGTGTGGATGTGGATGTGTGGTGTGTGTGTGTGTGTGTGGATGTGGATGTGTGAGCTGTGTCGTCAGATGATGATGGGGATGATGGTGCGTTGGATGATACTGCCCGGAGGCAGCACTCAAAGAAAAGCCACCCAACTGATCGACGCCCATTGTGCGGCTATTCAAATCGGTTACAATTTCTTCACTTTTAATCATTATTATTCGCACAGGTTTTGTTATATTTTCCTATTTGACGCGTACGAAGAACCTTTTCAATGATTTATTTTTTGTTTGTTTTTTCCGTTGCGATATTTGTTAGAACCGTGCGGCTTGGCTATTCTCGCTGAACTGTAAACTGTCTGCGATCTCAGCAACGATCTCAGCCGACGAAACGCTCCGATCCTCTGTGGCTGTGCTGTGAAGAAGGCGATCCACTTCAACTCTGCGCGTTCTTTTTTTAGGTTCGACTCGCCTACGCCTTACGCAAATGCGACTCACTCGCGCTCTCATTTTCGCTCTCATTCTTATGCTCATTTATGCTCTCTCTCGTTCTCTTATTTCCAATTTGACTCGCAGCTAATTGGCTTGGCTTTGCATGGCTCGCTCATCTCGCTGCTCGCTCTCTCAATCTCCCTCTCTGTCTCTCTCTTTCGATGTCGCTTCCTCTCTGGCTCTTTCACAATGCGAATCATCGGAATTTGCAATTGGAATCTAAACTAAACTAGGCATTGGCATGCAAAATATCTGGAGACAAGCAGAGGGAGGAGTTTTCAGAACTGCAGAAATCGGAGAAATTCAGGATTCAATTGAGAAGTTATTTATTTTATTTAAATACATAATTATCTGCATTTACCTGGAAGCGCACTTAACAAGAAACTTGAAGATTAGAAAAAGTTTTATTATTTATTTATTACAATTAATTCTAAAATATGCCCACAAATAACATTGAGAAAACAAAATGCAGCAGCAGTCAACACAATTAGATGCATCATTAGCGGTCAACCCCCGCGGAGCAAGTTGGTCTGCTGTCTCCTTGCGCAGTCAACATCAACAGTTAATAAATAGTCGAAGCACCCAGATCCCAAAACCCATATTACTGCGAATGAATTAAGATTTAGCATTCATGGAAAGGCAATTGTGCTGCTTTTGTTGTTGCTGCTGCTGCTGCTGCTGTTTCGGTTCCCAATGCTGCTGCTTGTTGGCGGCGGCATTCGAAACGAGCTGTTAATTGATTTAGTCGTTCTTTGGCTCGGGCTCCGGGTCTCTGTCGCTGTCTCTGTCGCTGTCGCTGTAGGCTGCAACGGCTCCCTGAGTGCCGCCATTGCTGTCAGCACTACGCCGACTCGCGACCGTGACGACGATGGCGCGACGAGGCCGCTCTCTCTCTCTCTCTCTCTCGCTCGCTCGCTCGTCTCTTCTCTCTCCAAAACGCATCTTTTTTGGATCTTTTTTGGTGGCAAGAGATCGGGCAACGTTTCAATCCCCAAACCGACACACACACACACTAACACACATAACACACACGCATGAGAGACACACGGAGGCGGAGTTTTGTTTACATTAAACGAATTCTATTTGTCGAACGCGTCAGGCACGATTGGCGCTGCTGCTGCTGATGCTGCTGCCAGTGGCCAGCAACACCAAACAGCAACAGCAACAACATTTTCTTAGATACCTTCTTTTTTTTTATTTGACTTTTGTGCGGCCTGAAAGATATTTTAATTTCGTTTTGCAAATATATCACAAGCAGACAATTTTAACGAAACACTCGCCATTTTCTGAGAATTTCGTGGAATCCACAGACAATAACCACACAACAACAGCAACAACAGCAACAACAACAGCGACAACAAATTGGGCAATTGTGGAACATTTTTCAGCACAGCATTTTGGGGGTAATCTGTGGCTGTACCAAAAAGAATACATATACATAGATATTCCTATGTACATACTTATATATATTTATGTATATATATATTTATATATGTTAAAGTCTTTAGCTATTTTTCTGCGGACTGGCAATAAATTATTTTTACTTTTGATTATTATTACTTCTGTTGCGTGCTGTGTTTTCGTTTTTGTGCATATCCAGAATTTATTGTTGCGAGTGAGGAATAAATTAAACAGGCTTCCCATACAGAAAACACACAATGCGATTCACCTTTGGCTGGCCACAGTTTAAAACAGGCGCTTAATTAATTGACCAGGTGTGGGTGAATTCTAAGAAAAATTCTTATGGGTAATAAATGACATTGGGCCAAGATCTGAAGTGTAAAGATCGAAGAGAAATAGCTGAAAATTATTCATGCTTACTCATTGCAAATACACATGTATATTCTCAATCCATAATAGTATTATTGATCAATGTTATTTGTGAATATATATTGTATATTGCATTTGTTTGAGAAGCAAATTAAATACGAATATACATCAATTATTGACTACGCAACTATTTGAATATTTTTCTGTCGCCTTTCATGGAAAAACATTTTGGTTTTTTTTTTTTTTTGCTTTTCGAAACGTTTATTTCGCAGAATCAATTATAGAAGCAAAATCGATGGCCCCCACCCCAATTGCCTCAGCTCACATCTGAGCCAAAATTTCTTTGACATGACATCGCACCTTGTATTTATAGCCTCTAAAGTCCAAACAGTGCCTCCTGCCACATCCATGTGCGTCATAGAAACTGGGTCAACAGTTCCGCCAACATTTCCAACAAGACGTTGTGTGGTCGTAATCTGATTGCAACTGCATTCCTTCTCTCTCTCTCTCTTTCTCTATTCCTTAACATACAAAATAAAAACAAAAAAATGTAAAACAAAACACGTCGAGGGAATTCCCAAACAAAACTCGTCATCATCATTCAGTTTTTCAAGTTCAAATAATCATAATAAAGATAAGCATATACAATACATCTCTCTCCATCTCTCTCTCTCTATTCCTTTCTCTCTCTCCCTCTCTCTCTCTATCTGGGTGTTGTTGTTGGTATGGGCTTCTTGTACGGCGTTTGTTTTGCTTTTAATTTAATGTTAATGTTATTAAATGGCCAAATTGTTTACTATTATGGACGTTTGTAAACAAAATTATGTATACGACGCGTCCGCCGCAGCAAACAAGTTGAGTTGTAGTACACAAAGCAGGCGATTCCATTGATTCCTTCCTACTCACTGTCTATCTCTCTCGCTCCCTCTGTGTCACTCGCTGTCTCGCTCTGATGCTCTTTCTCTGTCCAAGTAAATGCAAAAGAATACCAAACAATACCAAATGCCGGCCATGGCCAGCATTGTTTAAAGTTGCCTCGTGCTGTAGTAGTTTAATAAACATTTAACAATTAAACACACTCTTCTAAACACAAGATTTCCCTCCTTACCAAGTTGTATACAAGTTGGAGCTGTTGTGCCGCATTTGTTTTTGCACACTGACCTACAGCAACAGGCAACAAGCAAACAATTGCAGCTTCTTTGGGAAATGCCCTAACACCTGCCCCCTGTCCATGCCCCAGGCGAAAGCCCCTTTGCCAGGCAACACAGACGTTTAATATACTGTTGATCTGCCGGACAATAAATAATCAAATAGTCCAAAAATTTCAAAATATTTACAAACGAGCTTCTACGGCGAAAATGAGGCCGTCTTCAGTTAACATTTTCTCTCACTCTCTCTCTCTCTCTCTCTCTCCCTCTCTCTTTCTCTCTATTGATTTAGATTTTTGTTTAAATATTTAGATTTTTGATGTGCAATTTCTTGATTATCAGATCTAACCTATTAGTCCGGTATTGGTATGGCTTCTATATCTTAATCAGCCAACTCATCGGTTTTGTTTATGGCCCCGCTTGAAGAGATTGAATCACGTGTTGTGGTAAAAGTCTTATGGAACACATTTTGAGAAAACGCAAACAAAAAGCCTTATTAATAATACAAACAATCTGCATATACTTTTTTAAATCTAAGAATTCTCTGCAGCTTTGCTTATGCTTTTTCCCACGTCTTCAATTGTGTTTATAAATTATTTAGCTGTTAAGTGGAATAAACGTTTATTTGATTCTGTTTGGATACATTTGGTTGGCAGCCAACTAAAAAGTGACAAGAGTATATTTTGTATAAACAAAAACAAAAAAGTATTTGTCACGATTTAATAGACATTAAAAGTCCATTAAGACCTAATGGTAAACTAATGAAGATATATAAAAGTAGCCAGTAAAATGATGAATGATATATAAAAGATATTTTATATATAAATGAATGATATATAAAAGATATTTGATATATAAATGAAAATCAATAAAGATTTGTTTGTTGCCTTAATCCAAAAACTTCAAAGTAATTTCTCTATTGACATAAAAATATTTTTCAATTCAAAATATGTTCAAGAAATTATCAAATTGTTAACGGAGAAGTGTTAAAGCTTATAATGCTGCCTAAATCTCTATCTTTTAGGTATTTAAAATTCATAGCTGTTGGCTAAAGCAAAGAATGTGTCCAATTACAGAATTATTACAAAATCGTCGTAAAAGTTACAAAGAGTGCAGTTGGCAGTCGTCAGTGAGGCGGCAACAAACTAGTATTTGCTGCTGTGAATGTTGCCACACTTGGCCATAAACACCTTTTGCCTCATGATTACAAGTTTTTCCAAAATGGCCGCTGGCTGAGTTTTGCGCAAGATGGCCAAGAACGACGTGTTTGTTTGGGCTGCCAGCTGCCAGTTGCCAGTTGCCAGTTGCGATCTGGATGCCATTGCCAAACTACTATGCAAACTGTGGCATATAATAAAAGCTCCAGCACACACACAGACACACACACAAAGACACAACGGGGAGCCCACACCGAACGGACTGGTTTGCTGTGCGCCATTCAGCTGTCGAAGCTGGCGCAATAAAATTGAACAATTTATAGACTTGCGATCCATTTGGTGCGCAATAATTGCGCCAAAAATTTAACAGAAATTAAGGAAAAAAAAAAAGAAAAAAGAAATGAAGCCAAAATACTTTTAACGTTGGCCAGCCAACAGCAAAGTGAACGAACGACGAACCGACAAACGGTTTGTCGATGGGTCGAAAGCCATTTTTACTTGGCACTTGGCTGGGCGATTGTTTAGCTTTTAGTTTAATTGCCGGTACTTAAAAAACCGTTGACTCACTCAGGTGAATGGAGGCAGGCAGGGCAGGCATGGCAGTCGCAACGAGGAACAGGAAACAGAAAAGAAGAAGAAAAACAAAGAAACAACAATTTGCTTTTCATCGATTCAAGTTACGAATTTTGCAACGCAGGCAGTAATTAATCTTTTGGAAAATGGGAAGAACACAAAAACACACACACATTGTGCTGATTCTGATTATGTGATAAATGCCGAAATTCCATTGCGTTGCACAGTGTACACTCCACCAATGTGCCATGTGGCACGGCCATAGCTGCGATTCCTTCTCCTGTGTGCAGCCGATCTTCTTCGATCTTCTTCGGACTTGTGGCATCTGTTTCATTTCAATCGACGCGTATTGTCGTCATTGCTTCTTGGTAAAATGTTGCTGTTGTTCTGGCTGTTGATGTTGCTGTTGTTGTTGTTTTTGTCGCTTTTTTCTTGTCTTTTGTAGATTTGACTCAAACTGTGCTTTTTGGCCTTGTGGCCATTGCGCACCTGCGAATCGCAAATAACTGACGAAATTGGAATCACGAGCTACATTTTTGGACAGTTCAATGCTGGAAAAGAAAGAACAGAAAAAAAAACCAAGAAAAGAGTTCAATTTATTTAGAGAAATGTGTCAAGAGCAAACTGAAAATCGATCGTCAGGCGATCATCAATCGTTGCCCAGCTCTAAATCACAAATGCCAATGCATCGTTTTCGCTTACAATCTGTGGCAATCTGTTCAAGTGGCTTGCAGGGAGTCCCAGTCCGGGCAGAAGATGTAAATTTGGGTTAATCGCCGGCGACATCCTGACGCAGCAGCATTTGTCTAATTACCCCGCCGTAAATCGAGGCGCTGACAAATATTTTGACATGGCGTCGCCGAGAGACATTGTCGAGTTGTGTGCTTCTCGAGTCCACTTGATGCTCGGACTCGATCTTTGGGTATCCGTTTGCCACAACAGAACGAAAATCGAGGCTAATGTGTGGTCGGGACACTTGAGATCCGGTAGCGGGCTCGGCGTCGGGGTAACTTGCAACATGCAAGTGAAACTCAACACCAACATTTCATATAACCAAATGCCGGCCACAAAACAATTAGCTTGAAATGTGTCAGTTGGGAAATTAATCGCATGATTTAAGATATAAATTGAGATCCCCAAAGACACGGGTTGGTTATCATTAATTAAATATTATTATTTTTATTTATTTTTTGTAACTCAGCAAACAATGATTTCAAAACTGTCCCTCAAATCTCGGAAGTCAGCAGTCAGCTGATAGTCAAACTACATTCGGTTCAAATAAAAAACACGCCAAATTTTTAGTTTTTCTTTAAGATTTTTAATTAATAATGCATCGTTTCATGAATATTTCGGTTTTTAAATTTACAGAGCATTTGTTACACGCTCGTCGACCAGCGAGTGGATGTGGCGATAAGAAGAATCAATGTCCTAATAAAGATCCTTGCGCTAATCAAGATGGTTGTGCTAATCAAGATGGTTGTGGCAATCAAGATCCTTGCGGCAATCAAGATCCTTGTCCTGTTGTAGATCCTTGTGCCATCAAAGATCTATGCGGACAGCAAAACAAATGCCCAAAGAAAGATTCACGTGGCAAGCAAAACAAATGCCCAAAAAGGGATCCATGTGGAAAGCAAAACCAATGTGCCAATCAAGATCCATGTGCACAGAACAATCAGTGCGGAAATAACAATCAAGGCGGAAACCAAGGCGGACAGGACTCTAAGAAGCACCAGTGCGCTAACAGTATGATTTCCACATTATTTTATAAACTTTAATAACGGAAGTCTTTTTTAGAAAAAGAAAAAACGGGTCCACGTTGCAAGGACGGTCAGGGTGGCAAGGATGGCAAAGATGGCAAAGGTGCCAAAGCTAAATAGTGAAATCACCAATGTAATACTGATTGGGTGAGGCAAATCAGTATCTGCATTGCTATCGACGACTGGCGCCATCTTTTACTAAAAGTAGTTCCCATAATGGATCACAAAAAATCCAATAGTGGGAAGAAGCAAGATGAATCAGTTTGGGTTTACTGCTCGGCTGAGCACACACTGAGATCATAAAAGCGAAACGCTCAGCAGACATTATAAAGCCATAAAGCAACAAGTAAAATCGGCGCAAAAATAGCTGGCCAGCAGGGAGGTAACAAAAAAAAAAAAATACAAAAATATAAGAAAAAAAAATCCATAAAGAGTGATAAAAGTTTAAACCGACAACGTATGGACTAACTGTAAATTTCCATGGACATTTTATGATGACGGCGCAGTAGTTGCCTCTGCTCCGATGCTGCAATGATTCTCAAATATATATTTATATTTGTAAATCGAATTTGAATTAGAAAACTATCGGTAAACGAAAAGAGAACCATTTTTGAATTATGAATGCATTTTTCTTTGGAACAAACAAAAAAACTGCATTGCATCAGCTGGCAGGTGCTTAACGATATAACCTCGAGATAATCTCGAAACTCTGATCTCTGAAATCCATGACAAAAATAATATTCCACCAAAAGCAACAGCAGCAAACGGGAATTCATAAATTTCACACCCGGCCCGATCCCCCCGACAGAATCAGTTTTTATGGCAATTCAATTGCACTGGCACCGATATTTGTTTCCTGCTGATCCGTTCGGATTCGATCCGCACCCGTTCCCGGGCAGGTTGCAGCCGTATGGCCGGTCATATATACGATTTGCTTTTCCCCATTCCTACATGTAAACAAAAAACAAAGATCTCTAGACACGGGTCGCACTTGTGCTTACTGCTGCTGCTTCCCAAGACTCAATAGTCGAAATACTCGTACTCGTTTCTCTCCCCCCCTCATTTTCCAGTCTTTTCCTCTTCCACACAGATCGATCTTATATATGTATATATATATATATATATGTGTGTATGTGTGTATTTGTGTGCACAGCACATTTTTGTCTTTTGCTCCCCGTATTTTGGGTAATTATTACTTTTTCCATGTAAACAAATTGAATGCTGCTAATTTTAGTTAAATACTTGTACGTTATTTCTAGTTTTTACGATGCTGCGCCCTCATTTTGCCTTCGGCTGGAACCTATATAGAGATGCAAGTATTTCAATTGCAAATTAACAAGATCGATGTTTACAATAATTGCCTTGACTATGCTAAGACTAATGTTTATAAATAAAGGTGATGACTCTAAATGTGCCACTGCAACAACTTTTTGGTCTTGATTAAGCCTCTGTAATTGCCTAGTTTTATCAATACTAAAACAGATTTGCAAAATGCAGTTTGTTTTGAATTAGTTTATAATTATATTATATATAATTATTATGGGTATTTTCTTATCAGAAATACTTGTAAGGCACTTGAAAAATAGAGAAACACCTCAAAAACTCAATTCTTTTCGTATAAGTATTTCTTATATTTCTCTTTCTTCAGATTTGAACCTTCAACCCTTTAGAGCTGCACAGATTTTGGTTGTATAGCTATTTTGGCTGGTTGTCAGCCCATTGACTTGCTCATTGACAGCTTTGAAGAGTGCCGAAAATCGGATCGAAAATCGAGCAATTGACGCAGTCGACGATCGACAGCCGATCGAGCATCCATCAATGGAGTGTCTAAAGTCTCCCGACTTGAGTTGAGTGTGGAGCTGCTGCTGCTGCTCTACATATATATATATATATATATGCATATGCATATGCATATATATATACATATGCATATGCCCGATTAACAGCCGACTTGTGTTCCTCTCAACCTTTCAACGCATATAAAAAGCCAAGGCGCAAAGTTTTCTAAAATGATGCTGTATTTTTGTTTTTTCTTCCCATTTTTGTTTCGAATTATCGACGAAATTAATCTTAATCTTGAGTTGGCCCAAGGCAATCTGGCAACACATGTGCTAAACTGCAGCCGAGTGTGTGTGTGTGTGTAGGTGTGTGGGATTCAACTAGTACAAATACACACATATCTATTTCAAGGCCTTGGCGTCCTTTTATTGTTGTTGTTGTTGTTGCTTGCTGCTTTTGTTTGCTTTGGTTTTTGTTTTTGTGCGCAACGCCGATTGAAGTTTGGCCGACGCCAACGTCGACGTTCGTCAAATTTGTTGGCATCAGCAAACGGTTTAAAATTCAACGAAGAACAACAACAACGAACGAACGAATGAGCGAACGGACAGCAATGAGAATGATGGAAGCAACAGCAACAGCAGCAGCAGACAGGAGAAAGAGGAAGACGGCATGCGCTGCTTTGCATGCGCCGACATTGCACCAGCCAATTGGACCACCCAAAGCGCTCTCCTTGCCTTGCCTCTCCGCACTCGCCTCCCCGCAACCGCATAAATCCATATATCTCTAGCTGCTGCCGTTTTAAATTTTTACGATAAATTACAACACCAACATTGCAGCAAATGCTGCAATCATTCAGTCATCCAAAGTCATTCCACCCCCCTTTCCCAGTTGTCGCCCTTCTCCATCTTCGTGTAAACATGTGTAAATCATGACCCGTTGATGGCCTTCCACGCCAACAGTTTAACATGTGACGTCCTCAGCAACGTCGACGCTTAGCAACTTTTGCACTGCGACCCCAAACTCAGTTGCAGTGCTTTTTCCAGTTGAGGAAAGCTGCTGCACCTCACAGACTTGGAAGTCTGCCAAAGTCGACTGGAACGGCATTGTCCCAAAGGGCAAAAGCAAATATTATTTATGCATGTGTTTGTGAATTTTACATAAATGTATGTTTGTATGTGTGTCTGCCTCTGAGAACTTTATTTTGTCGGCTTGTGCACATATTGAGCAAATGCCGTGCACTTCCGAACCGCACAGAATTTTGTGTGTTTGTCTTTTGTTTGTTTATACTTAAAACGTTATTTCAATAAACATATCCATGGCAAAGGGCAAATTTTTGATATTGAAATGTTGATACATTCTTTGAAAATGATACAGCCTGTTTTGATCTGTAATTTTTGTACAAAATATATCAGCCTTTTCAAAAATATATAGAAACTTCATTGAATTAAGTCAGTAATAACTAAGTTCATATTTATTTTTTGCTGCTTTTGAAAATATTTCAAGTGCGGCTTTCATATCAGTCAGCAAACTGTAAGGCTCACACAATAATATGGCATCGTTCCGACAGATCTCGATGACGTCAGAGTTGCCCAGCTAAACAGTGCTGCATAACGTGCAGGTTTAGTCATTTACCAACACCGACAAGCGCTGATCGCATATGCAGTGTGACCATGCATGCGAGTTATTGGTGTGTTTTTTTTAGTATCAGAGTGAGAACGGCAGCAGCAGCCAAAAAGTGATTCACGCTCTCCAACGGCAACAGTAATTTTAACGAATAGAAATTATTTTCGCATTTGCCGCCGCGCGTTAGAAAATTAACAAAATATATATTTTAATAGGTCGCCGCGAGTGATTTTGGAAAGTGCAAAAAGAAAAAAAAACGGGCCGCTACGTTTGCGTCGGCTCAAAACTCAGAGTGCGCGTGTGTGTGAGCGTGTGCATGTGTGTGTGAGAAAGGAGGAGGAGAAGCAACACACGAAAGAAAAAAGTGAAAAAAGTGTACAGACGACGCGCAGACGCAATACAAAAAAAATCTGCACTGGCATAATTAAAAGCAACGAAAAAGCGAGTGAAAATTAATTAACTACAGGCGCAAATATCGCCAAAAACAACAAAAAAACACAAGTTGGTCAACAAGCAGAACAGAAAACGACTTTAAAATGGGTTGTGCCGTGAGTACAGCACGAGATAAAGAAGCCATCGAACGTTCGAAAAACATCGACCGGGTGCTCAGAGCTGAAGGAGAACGCGCCGCATCTGAGGTTAAATTACTGCTGCTGGGTGCGTTCCAAAATTCTCTCTCTCTTTTCCTCTTCCTCTTGCTCCTTTTTTAATAATAATTTGTGCACGACTTTCCAGTGGATTTAGCTAGCAATTCCAGTGCAATGAAAAATAACTAACCATGCCGGAATTTTTTTTTTTTTCCAATTGAATCAAACTCGGTTTTCTATTCATCTTGGCCATTATGCAATGCACATGTCCATAATAATTCGATATGCGATAAGAAATCGAAAGTAAATTGAAACCAAATGGCGGCGGTGGCGAGTCCAACAACCAAAAGTGGAGCGCCATCAATCGGCCTGGAAATGAATACATGTTTTGTGCTGCTTGCGGTTCTTTTTTTTTTTAAGTACAGATCTAGAAATGTATATATATATATGTGTGTGAGTGAGTGGCACTTGTTGTTGTCAGCGGGTGAGAAATGTGCATTGAGGCATTGCGACGCCATCATTTTCAACTTTGACCTCTACAGTGAAATTGGACGCGTCTCATTTGGTTTTTTTTGGCCTGCTGCAATTAAATTTCTATACAAACGAAGAGCACGCTAAGAAACTGTATATTTGAGTGCACTTTTCATGCCATTCAATGTTGCAAACAATGCAATGGATTTTCCAGCAAAAACCAACAACAATTCACATACACACAAATACAGATGTAGTTGCAGTTTGCTAATGAAACGGCGCCCCGTTAAACTCACTGCTATATGACTCAAAGCGAGGGCTGTCGAGTGTTGAATGAGAGGAGAGCTGCGGGGTGCGACATTCATCGACGTGAACAGTTGAAGTGATATCTGCTGGAGATGAACTCACTCACAGCTGGAAACACTCATCAGCACTGCTAGAAAACTCTCGCAATTCAGTTCGATCTTTAGCAACACATGCATACGGACATACATGTATGTATTGAAGCATATTGTTCACTTCTGTTTGCTTGACGACTTATCTTTTCAAAAATGCATTTTAAATTTACAATAAATTTAATCTTTTGTTTTTCCAATTCATTACATTACTCTTACTGAAAAGCTTCTGCTGTCACTTGAGCAGCTCATTCCAGCTTCCCAAATTCCAGCGTTTACCTGGAATAAAATTTGCCTTGCAGCTGCAGTTTATTAAATCAAACAGAAGAAGAACAACTATGCTGGGCAGTGTAATGGGGGATACAAAAAAAAACACCTTGCACCAGTTGCTAACATTTGCGCTCGTATTTATTTAGTTACACATACAGGCACGTAGTAGTTGTTATTGTTGTATTGCCTGTCTGCCTGTTGTTGTTGCTGGGTGTTGGAAGTTGTTGGTGGCTGCGCACGCTCATTATTCAAACCGCATTGCTTGCTATCTCCCTCTCGCTCTCTCTTGCAGGCCTAATTGAGTGTCTTTTGTTGTTGTTGTTGCTTTGTACACTGACATTTAAAGTGGGGTGAATGATATTAGCGCAATAAATAAATGGCCCCCACATCAAATGCAGCTGGGCGAGCAGAGCTGAGTGTTTGGATTATGCTCCTCGTTTTATTGTGTAGATTTAATAAAAAATTTGCTATTGTTGCAACTTGCTGTGTGTCTGACTCTGACCATTGCCCCCTTTTGCTGTGTGCAGCAGCCTCTTCAGTTAAATTACGGCACTTAATTCAACATCAATTTTACTCACTCTCCCTCTGTCTCTCTCTCACTCTCTGTATCTCTCCCTCTGGCACCCTTTGACACGCCATTCAATTGAAAGTGCAATTTTCATTGGGATCGCAGTTTCTTTTCAGCTTTCTTTCACATTTCCAATTCCTAATATTTCAGAAAACAGACAAATGTCTTTAATTTTGTGTATTAACTGCTAACAAGATTTGCAAACGAATTGTGAATTGAATGTGTTGCTCATATTTTAGACTTATTTGGGGGCATTAGTAAGCCACCAGTAAATACGCGTGTATAAGAAAGAAACAAATATATAAATACATAGCCACATACATATGTATGTAAATAATACACTCGTAAACAAAATTTGACACTCATAGTGTGAGTGAGAGAGAAACCCAGAGCACAAACTGTCAGCACAAATAGAACTTAATCAATAATTTTTAAGAATTTATATTTGTATGTTTATATAAATGTACATATATAATGTACTTTATTTGGCTGTCGGCTATAATTCATTCGTCGCGCCTTATCAAAATTATCAATAAGTGACCTTTGCGTCAGTTTTAAACAGATATTTTCAACTAAACTGATGAGCGAACGCAGCTGACTTGATTTCAACGAACAGAAGCCAAGCGGCGATAATATTTCCGTTTATTTATTTATTTTACAAACCCATCGAATAATGCGAGCACACGCTGCAGATGGGAAATTCCAAGGCATATACAAACAAACTTGTGATTGCCACATTTCTTTTCGTTTCGTTTCTGTTCTTACTTTGCTTATCGCAAAGAAAGGCGGCGCCAATAAAGCTCGATAAGTCGATTAGTCATGCACTAGAGTGCAAAATGAACAAAATGCCAAGCAATGAATGATTAGCAACTGATTTTTCCTGTCTCTCTTTTTGCCTTTAGTCACCGTCAATGAATCTGCATATGCATGTGTGTGTGTGTGTGTGTAACTGCAATCATAGGAAAAAAACACATCTGCTGAAATGTTTGACACGCCCCAAAGTATTGATGAGGGCTGTGTGTATGTGTGCGTGTGTGCTGATGAAGTTAATTTGAATACCGCTGATTATCACGATGATGGTGATGATGAGCTTTTGTTGTTGTTGTTGGAATGAAGCTCGCGCTTTGTACTCGCCGCTGCGCAAACGTTCTCGGCGCTCTCTCTTTCTCGCCGTGTCTTCTTCTTTATTCACACATATTATGGCAGAGGTAACGGTGCATTGATTTGTATGCTTATTTCTTGCTCTTGCCGTTGTTGCTGTTGTTATTATTATTATTAAATTGACCTTTTTTTGCGCCTCTGTTAGTTTTCTTTCATGTTTCATTTTGGCGTATTATTCGGTGGCAAGCTTCGAATATTTACCTACCAATTCATATTCAGATTGGCCAAATGTGCCCATCATTATACGTAAACGGTTGTTTTTATATCGACTTATTATTTTTTTTAATGCCAAAATTAGTACGCATTGTTAGCTTTACAAAAAGAGCAAAATATGCAAAGAAAGGTAAGAAATATTGCAGTTTAAAATCGGAGCTAGTACTAAGCACTGCAAAAGTGAAAGTACTCTTAGCTCTTGAAATTACCTAATCAAAAAAGAAAGGAAAAAAACACAGCGTCTCCACATCCAAATTGTATCTTTCTCTCTCTGTCTGGGAAACGACCCAAGCAACCACACACAAAAACACATGCAACAACAAACAGCATCGAATGTTGCAAAGATTTTCAAAAAGAAAAGAAAAAATAAAGTTTGCTTAATGTGCCACTGTTGCAATCTCGCCGACTTCGGAGTTTTATAACTTAAACTTAAACCGCAGCTGAAAAACACAAAGTCTACGATAAAAAGAAATAAAAAACATTAATTTCAGTCGTTTGGGGAAGCAGCTTAGCAAAAAAAAGAGCACGTAACATCAGTTTTTATCTATTGAACTGATTGTGACGAGCGTTTGTGTGTTGTGTGCCTTGTTGTCAGCTGATTCTTTTGTTTACTTCGGCATTTTAAAAGTTTTATGTCTGTAAATTTATATATATAGACATGTAGTTGAATAAAACGCTCGGCATTTTATTAACTCACAAGTTATGTCCAAAATAGTATGCGGTTTCAGATTATTGCCTTTGTATGTTCAATGTTCGAGAGAGTTCAATGATCCTCAGGGGTTTGGCATAAGGGCAAATAATAAGTACAGCAGCGGTGAACGATAGAGAGATAAAGAGAAACCATTATAATAAATGTCGACATTTAATGCTTGAATGTGCATTCCAATTCCTGTCACATATTTTTGTAAATACATTTTATGTTTATTTTATGGGCACAGTTTATTAACATATATATTTCCATTGAAGGGTTCATCAAAAATGAATTCACTTCTTGTGTCATAAAATCACATGCTTTAAACTTAGATAGAGATAACTTACAAATGCAGAAATGGGAATTTTATAGTTATTCAATAGATAGGAAGCAATCATCTTGGCATGGTTGTAAACTCACTGGATATATATATATCGCTTTATAGTAGAAGTTCAATTACTCACGACATTACATGATGACCAACATGACCAACGCAATTGAGCGCGAGCTTTGTGGCCTCTTGAACCCAAAGACAATTGAACAATTTGTGGCATCCATTCATTCATGAAAAAACAGTAAATTAAAAAAAAAAAGCGCACAACTTGCTTGCCTTGCCCCTCTTTTTCCCTGTTCCATTCATTGATTCATTCATTGGCGCATTTTACGCAAACGGAACAGCAAAAGTCACATTCTCTTTTCCCGATAACAAATTCAATTGTTTGCTGATTGAGGAGGAAGGGGTCACCTCAACGAGATGAGCTCATTTCCGCTTTTGTTCCCCCAACAACAGCATCAGCTGTTGCCAATTTCCAGCATTTCTAATTGTTGATTTTTGCTTCTAGGTGCCGGCGAATCCGGCAAATCGACAATAGTCAAACAGATGAAGATCATACACGAGACGGGCTACTCGCAGGAGGAGTGCGAGGAATATCGCCGTGTCGTCTACAGCAACACCGTACAGAGCCTGATGGTCATCATCCGTGCCATGGGCAGGCTAAAGATTGAGTTTGCGGATCCGGGCAAAACAGAGATCGCACGCCAGTTTTTCACACACGCCTCGGCGGCAGACGAGGACATCCTGCTGCCGGAGATTGTGCTGCTGATGAAGAAACTCTGGTCGGATGCCGGTGTGCAGCAATCATTTTCGCGCTCTCGCGAATATCAGCTAAACGACTCGGCCGGTTACTATCTGAACTCACTGGATCGCATTGCGCAACCCAATTATATACCCACACAGCAGGATGTGCTTCGCACACGTGTCAAGACCACAGGCATCATTGAGACGCATTTCAGCTGCAAACAGTTGCATTTCAAGTGAGTGATGCGTATAAATTGCATTAATTTTAAAGTGATTAATCGAATTTTCTAATCCACAGACTTTTTGATGTGGGCGGTCAGCGCTCGGAGCGTAAAAAGTGGATTCACTGCTTTGAAGGCGTCACAGCCATCATTTTCTGTGTGGCGCTCTCAGGTAAGACTCGATTAACATCCATTAAAAGTTTAATTTATTAATCTGTCTCCCATTTATACACAGGTTACGACTTGGTTTTGGCTGAAGATGAGGAAATGAATCGTATGATTGAATCACTCAAACTCTTCGATTCCATATGCAATTCGAAATGGTTTGTGGAAACGTCCATAATACTCTTCTTGAACAAAAAGGATTTGTTCGAGGAGAAAATCAAGCGATCTCCCCTAACGATATGCTTTCCGGAATACACAGGTAACTGAAATAAATCATAATATAATATAATAAATACTAACGTTATTTATGCATTGTTAATTTTGTAGGTTCGAATACGTTCGAGGAGGCCGCCAATTATATACGCATGAAATTCGAAAATCTCAACAAACGAAAAGACCAAAAAGAAATCTATACGCATCTAACCTGCGCCACAGATACAAACAATGTGAAATTTGTATTCGATGCGGTTACCGATGTCATCATCAAGAACAATCTGAAACAAATTGGCCTCTTCTAAATACGATTAAGAGTGCGTCTTAGTATTAAAAGGAAAAACACCCGCAAACATTTCCATTACAATATAATTAATTTACTATAAATACATATACACATATATCTATATATATACGCATATATCTATATATATATATATTTGTAATCTGTATTTTATGTATATACACATGTATATGCTGGAAAAAAAGACGAAATTTAAAATGCTTTACAAGCTCTTGAGATAAACCTACTTATTATAAACCGATTTTGTTGCCAATAGTCGAGGAACAAATAACTAACTGCAATTAATTAAGTTAACAGTTAAAACTGCTTTGCTATAAGTGAACTAATTAAAATACGTTTGTATTTATGCTAATTTAACAAGTGTAAAGTAGACGCCAGGAGCTTGGTAAAGATAGCTGTCCAGATTTCTGAACGCCGTAAAATACATCCGAAATTTGGCCAGCTAACTTTGCGCTTATTTAAGCTTAATAATAATAACAATTGATGTGACTAAATTGCATGGCGCAAAATCAGTGGACTTTTAACCGATTTTTATCCTTTTTCCGCAATGCATTTTGGCCACGTTTTGATTTTTGCTGTAAAACTGTCAGACGACGCCGCCACGTTGAATTTGCCAAGAGAGTGAGCGCGGGCCTCATTTTTGTAAGCCCTTTACATTTAACTAGAAATTTTACTAATTTTTTAGTAATAGCTTAAATAAAGATAAAATACAACGACCTAAACATGTGCATTTTTTGTGTTGACTGTACTTTAGTTACGTTATGCAACACTGCTCAGCACTAGTGTGGTGAGTTTGAAAATAATTGACAAGTGACTTTTCTTGCTGTCAACTTTTGTGGAAGTAGGTTGTGATTTTCTTTTTTATTCCTTCGTTCCTTCCAAAAATTATAATATATTTACGGACAACATTCAGGTATTTGAAGCTGTTCTTTCAGAAACACTGTGAAGAGGATCTGCTGAAAACACAATGCTGCGTTCCGCCATTTCGATCAGCTCTCGTGGCCAGCTGCCGGCATTTCTGATGTCCTCCAAGGGCGTTGGTAAGTGGAAGCAATTGAAATAATTGAATCGGTAAAGCTTACTCCATTATAGCGCAGAGCAAGTTACTCCATTCGTATTCGTACTCGCGACCTGTTGTGGTGCGCTTTGCCAGCAACGATAATAAAATCCAGGGTTCGAGCGGCATCATTGGCAACATCGCCTCATCGAAGAGCATTGGCAGTGATCCTTCATCTTGTGCGCAGTCGCAGACTACAGTTTTAGGCAGTGATTCTGACGTCGACAAGCTGGCTAAGAAAAATTCCGCCAAGTTGGATACAGCCGATGATTCAGTTGATAGGCCAAAACTAAACTCGATGAAGAGAGAGTCGGGCAAAAAATCAGGACCCGATAGCAAAACTGAGTCGGATAAACATTTAGACGACACCATGAAGCAGCTGCAGGCGGTGGCTGCCAGTCTGCCCAGCAAAGATCAGGTGGAGAAGTTCGTATTTCGCATTGTGGCCTTCATCTATGACATCGTCTACTTGACCGGCAATTGGACAATACGCTTTGTCAACGAGAATATACTCCAGAACGCCACCGTCAAGCACTACTGGAAGGTGTTCCACGACAAAATGGAAAAGGCCAAGAAGGACTAGGCACAAGCAACTCATGAGTAATATTAATGCACGAATGCGTAGCATTTCCAGATATAACAAACAAAGCAAATAAATCTTAAATTTCAAGATACACATTTATATATTTATATTGTTGTTGATTATTTCGCTTAGTTTGCACAATTGCATTTGTGTTGCGATTGTATTTGGTTTCATGTGAAGCTTGCAAAGCTGGCATAGCCGTCCAACAATTTGGCAAGAAATTTGAGTATCTTGTTGCGCGCCGCCTTTAGCTGCTCCGGATCGCTGTCCACCGGCTCGTACATGTTGGCGCAGTGTGCGGTGCCTGGAAAAGTTGACAAAACATGCATTAAGTTTCATAAGTATTGTTGTTTTTTTTTATTTTAACTCCAACCTTCAATGTAAATGGTGGGCGTCTTTGCATTTGGCGAGACGTAGAGACCCAGCGCATGCCACGGATCAATGGAGCCATGCACGTAAAGCACTTGGGTTGTGTCCGGCTTCAGAGCACCGTAGAACTTGTTCGTCGCCAGCACAGCCTGCTCAACGAAATTGGCGTCCATGCGCTCGGAGAAGATATCGGCGCATTGACGTACAAAAAAGTCAACGCCAAAGCGATCCCCAAACGTGTCCGACTTGTTATCCGACGTCTGATAGAAGCCAAATTCGTTGCACGTTTGATAGGTCCATTGACGCATGCCTTTGGCAACCTCCGAGTCCCACGATACGTTCTTCATATCAGCAATCATCTTGTCATACTTGTAATCCAGACACTTAGACTTGGACTGCTTCAACAGCATATCATTAACGGCCGCCAAGCGTGTCACAGGCGGACCAAGCTGTGTGTTCAGCATCACATCACATACCTGCAAAGGAGAAGGATTAGGAGGAGTATTTGCGAGTAGCTTAGTTTACTAGGTGGATGCTGAATACCTCATCGATGGTGATGTTGGCATGCGGACTATTGTCCTTGTTGTATTGCACAACGCCAGCAAAGTTGCCAGCGAGGTTCTCGAACAGATTCGCAATGTCCAATGGAGTCTCAATCGAGTCTTTTAGGGGCGTGCAGGTTCTAAGCGATAAGAGTCAGCAATTAGTTTCAACTAAGCTACAAACTCATATTCTATTTTCTATAAGTTGTGATTAAAAATATGTAATATATAAAAAGGCTAATCTAATGTAAAATATGAACTGATAATATTATTGCAGTGTTGTTATTATTATTATTATTTGGCGACATACTTGAATTTTTCATCGAGATTACGCTGACCAATCATGTGCTTGAGCAGTATCTCGACCTGGGCAAAGCTGCGCGTCACAGCCTCCACGCAATCCGGCTTGTAGCTGGCCAGCGATGCCTTGACCACCTCAAAGTACTGCCGGAAATCGACCTCGGCCAGCAGTGGGCCACTTGAGCTGATGGCGCCATCGATTAAATCGGGATACTTCTCGCGCGCCCAGGCAGCCAACGAACCCGGATAGGAGCCACCAAAAGCGATCCATTTCTGAGTCGCCTTCATATTGTATTTGGACTTCATCGCACTCACAAAGTTGGCCAAATCGGCCAGTGCCTGCTCCGAGCTGAGATAGGCTAGGTTGCTAGTGGAGAGATCACCAGTCGGATGACTCTTGCCATAGAAACGATGCTCCAGCTGAATGCAGAGTGCACCAAAGTGCTCAGCATAGTGGATCCAGGCGCCTTCGTTCATCCATTTCTTGGTCGCCTCCCCCTCGCCGCCAATCATGATGAAGACAGGCGCATTACTGTCGTTGACATAGTGTTGATCGTTGATAAAGTAACGCTGCTGCCAAGTTTGCCTATTGTCTGCCTTAAAGTGATCCAAACGCTGCTCGAACCACAATTCCTCCACATCCAGAGAACGCTGCAGACTCAAAACCTTACTCGGCTCTCCAAGGAATCCATTCACATGGCGTCCACGTCGAAAGTTCAAACTGCTACACTGCGCAATAATTGCGAGCAGCAAAAGCACATAAAATGTTTCCTTTGGGTTCATTGGAATTTGCCGCATTTTCCAGTTATAATAAGAATCTGTCTTCTTCTTGTTGTGTCGGTTGTTTTGCTGTTATTGCTGGGGTCAAGTGAGCTGTTATTTGATTAGCTCGAGAGCCGTTTGTTCGAATAACTGTAAAAATGGCACAAGAATGCAACTTATATATGTTCTATTTATGTGCTAATGCCTATGTATGCGGGTTCGTACTTCGCATATTATTCTTTCAGCTTTTGTTATTGCTTTTTGCTCTTACACATGCCGGCTGTCCAGTAGCGTTGCCACCCAGTTACAAATATTGAGAGAGTTGCACTCTCTTTCCAAAATATGAGCGATGCGGCACTGCCAACTTGTTTGGAAACGGCTTCCAGGCAACGGTTGCTTAATTTTCAAACAATCAAATAGGCAGTTGCTTTTCGCATTGTCAGCTTGGCCGGTGAATCGTACAAAAAAAACACATTAAAACATTTATTATATATATATTTTACAATGGAGAATCCGATCAAGGAATGCAAACAGCTGCAACCACGCGCAATTTTCGGCATCAATGGCAAGGTGGAGAACGGAGTACGCCAACATCCCATTACCGGAGCAGCAATCTTTCCACTGGGCAATAAGATTGCCATTGCCGATTTGAAGAAGAACACACAAGAATTTGTGGCCGGGCACACAAACAGTATCTCCTGCCTGGACGTGAGCAAGAGCGGCAAATATATCGCCTCCGGTCAGATCAATCATATGGGATTCCGTGGCTATGTCATTGTCTGGGACTATGAGACACGCAAGGAGATCGGTCGTCATGATCTGCACAAGGTGAAGGTGCAGGCCATTTGCTTTACGGCCGAGGACCGCTTTGTCATCAGCATTGGTGGCAAGGACGACGGCTCCGTGATTGTGCTCGATATGCAAACATTGTAAATATGAACCGAAATCCAATCCGAATCAATTGCTAATCTCCTGTTTGCAGCTCGCCCATTTGTCGCCAGCCCGCCTCGCGTGCCATCTCGGGAAATGCACTCACTGTGCGTCCACTGCACAATAATCCATTCTTCTTTGTCACAGCTGGGGATCGTCATCTGCGGTTGTGGAGCATCCTGCGCGAGCAGAAGAAACTGTATGTCCAGGACGTTCAGCTGGCCAGCAAATCGAGGCTGTTCTACTGCGCCCGCATCGACAAGAAGGATGAGTTCGCCTACCTTGGCACCGGCACCGGCGACATTATTAAGATCACGCTTAACTGCTGTGACAAGGATAATGTTACACATCCGGGCTCGTCGAGTGGCATCCTGGGCGCATTTGGCACCCACAATCCGAGGAAGCCAATGGGTCGCGACTGCAACCGCTATGTGAATGGAGTGCGTGCTTTGTATGTGCTGGAGGAGGGTCGTCTCTTAATTGGCGCCGGCGATGGCGAGGTGCAGCTTGTGGAGGAACGCACCGATGTGCCACTGATTAGCTTTCGAGATTACCCGGGACCCACCTGGCCCTACTTGCGCACGGTAATTTGTATTTCTCAATTGTACTTCTCATACAGACTCCTTACAGTCCCTTCCCCTACCTTGTTCAGGTAAAGAGCACTCGAGTTTCGGGTCGCATTTCGTCCTTTGTGCGCTCCACGCCGGAGAAGTTTTACATCTGCACGGACACCAATGAGATTTATACGCTTAATATACATAGCTGGGTGCTGAAGCTGTTGCGCACTTGTCACGCCAAAGCAGTCTACTTTATTACATTCCCCAAGTAGGTCAAGATTGTGATCTTGTCTCATTCCCCCATCCTTTCACTTGCACTCTGTCATTGGTTTTCAGGAATTATGCGGCTGTCTTTGCCACTGCTGGACACGAGAGCATTCGCATCTGGTCCTCGTCACGCAAGCAGGAGCTGTTGCGCATCATGGTCTACAATTTTAACTGTGCTGCGGTTCGCTTCTCACAGGATGGCACCAGCATTGTCTCGGTGTGGAACGATGGCATCATACGCGCCTTTACGCCCATCACCGGGCGTCTCATCTACGCCATTCCCAATGCTCATAATAAGGGTAAGACTTGCAACCTTTAAGGATACTCTTTAATATGTACTGCAAAGGATTTTATACCTTCGACGAATCTTCTTTGTTGTTGTTAATCCATCTTGAATCTCAATTTCAGGCTGCAGTGCCTTGGCAGTGGCATCAACTGGACGCTTCATCGTCACTGGCGGCATTGAGGGTCAAGTGCGTGTTTGGAAAATAGAACCGTATCGCCAGGATCTGGTCGGTGTGCTCAAGGATCATTCGGGGCCCATAACATCGCTGTGCATCAATAATCTGGACACCGAAGTGATATCCGCTTGCACAGATGGCTCCTGTGTCATTTGGGATATCAATCGGATGACCCGCAAGCAGGTCGTCACTGCCAATACACAGTTCATGTCTGTCCTGTATTTCCCAACAGGAGTCCAGATCTTAACCTGTGGCTCCGATGGCAGAATCATCTACTGGATGGTGTACAATGGTGCATTATTACGCGAACTGATCGCCTCGAAGAAGTCCTCAGTAAATTGTTTGTCCATGAATGCCACCGGTGACTATTTTGTTAGCGTTGGCAGCGATCTGCACGTGAAGCTGTGGGATTACAACAGCGGCGATGTAGTTGGTATTGGATCCGAGCATGCATCGTCCGTGATTAGTGCTGCGTATAGTCCATGTGGTAAGATGTTTGTCACTGGCAGCACGGATGGCTCACTGATTATTTGGGATGTGCCCGAGGATTATTGGGGCTCGCAGAATACTGGTGATAGACCAACCTACACCTTGCCCAAGGCTCAGCCCAAGGGCAAGGTTGTTCAGTCGCGTGTCGACTCCGGCACACGTCTCAAGCCCAGTCCGGGTGAAAATGTCAACGATCTGCTGAAGGCAACGCCAAAGGACGACATCTGCTGTGTCGAGTGTCCGCCGTGCGGCAAGAAGGAAACCAAGGGCGGCGATATTTTCGCTGAGTGTAAGATTGTCCCGGATATAACCAAGTGTTAGATATCCATTTTCTCAATTTACGTTAAGAAACTTGATTCAAGCAATAAAGAATTTGTTCTACAAATAAAAGGTGTTTTTCTCAAAAAAAGTACAAAAATTGCCAGCTAATTTCGAGATTTATTTTCAAATTATCTTTCACACAATTTTAATACGAGACGTTGCCGTTTTCAATAATTTGTCTACATTTTTAGCCTTTTGCTCGCGCAGCCTTTTTAGCCTCTTCCTCTTGACGCTTGAGCTCCTTTTCGGACTCGGCGCGTATCCTTTTTTCCTCTTTCTCGGCCTCAGCCTGTTGCTTCTTAGCCTCGGCCGCCAGCCTCTTTGCCTCTTTGTCAACCTCGGCCTGTTGCTTTTTAATCTCCTTTTCAGCCTCGGCCTGTTGCTTCTTAGCCTCTTTCTCAGCTTCGGCCTGCTGCCTTTTCTGTTCCTTCTCGGCCTGTGCCTGCTGCTTCTTGGCCTCTTTCTCAGCTGCTGCCGCCGCTTTCTTGGCTTCAGCCACTCGTTTATCATTCATTTTTTTCCATTCCTTGTGTACAGTGCTGAATTCCTTTAGACGCTGCTCCTGTTCCTTGGCCGTTTCGGGTGTCTTGCCAGCGGCTTCCACGTCGATTTCATCCTCATAGCCATCTGGGGGAAGGGCATTCCAATAACTATTATGGAATCTACTATGGTTGCCATCGCCCCAGAAAAATGGTTTCGTACGCTGGTACATGTGCGGATAGGCCTTAAACTCGGGCCTCTCTCCCTCGCCACGTGTGGTAAAGACGAGAATCGTTAGAATGGCCACAATTGGCAGCACACCCATCAACGTGATATTCTTCCACTTCTTTGAATCCTTGAACGAGGGTGCTGTGTGGTTAATAATGTATTATTATTGATATCATTTTTACACAATTTAAATTATTGCCTTACCTGGTCGAGGACAAGGGGTACACGGATCCTTTGAACCGCCACCGGATTCCTTGTTTCCTTTTTGGCAACCTTTTGATTTGTTCAATTCTTCGCGCTTGAGAATCAGTTTTTCGCAGAGCGCCTTTTGCGCGTCTTGCAGCGGAGGTTTGGGTGGGGTTGGTTTCTTACATTGGGAGCCACCTCTGATCACCATTTCATCGTTCTGCTTGCTTTCAGGTGCCTCCTTCTTCTTACAGTCAGGTTTTGCCTTCGTTCCTTCAGCTGCCTCCTTCTTTTTGCAGTCAGGTGCAGCCTTTACTTCGAGTGCCATCTTGCATTGAGGTGGCGCCTTCTTTTCTTCAGGTGCCTCCTTCTTTTTACAGTCAGGAGTCTTTTCTTCAGGCGCCTCCTTCTTTTTGCATTCTGGTGCAGCCTTTACTTCGAGGTTCTTCTTGCATTCAGATGCAGCCTTATTTACTTCAGGTGTTTCCTGCTTTTTGCATTGATTCTCATTTTTTGCATCAGTTTTAGGCTGGTTTTTGCAAGCGGGTTTTGTGTTTTCAGCTGTAGGCGTAAATAGATTTAATTTTTCTTTTAAATGGTTGTAAATATATTGTACTTGAACTGCACGGATTCTTGGTTTTATCACACATAAACCGAAAGCTCCCACTGAATATTGATGGAAATAATTGATACGGCAGCTGTGTGCATTTTGAGTAATTTAATAATTGAAGCATGGCTTTAGCGACGATAATTTTGAGCAGACCAAATTTTGAAAATAAGTCCTGGTAACCAAAGCTTACAGAATTGAAATAAAAACTAAAGAACCCCAGACGGTTTTCACAAAGGTTGTTTCGAAAGTAGGTATAGGTAGCTTGTGCTCTAACATTTATTATAATTTTATTTTAATTCGTATGTCCATGTAGAGGTTGTACTCAATTCATTTCAATTCATTATATATTCTGCATTTGAGTTTTTTTTCCATTTATTTTTCAAATTTCCCGCCAAATCTTTTCTGAACAGAACACAGCTAACAGAATCGATCTGCGTACTGTGCCTCAGGCCGCTAACATTATTCTTATTCTTGATAAACTGTAAGCGACGGCTGCTAGTTAACAGACATAGCTGCTGTTGTTTACATATTTCAGTAAGTAGCTTGTTAACATATTTATGTAGGAATAACATGTACGAATTTTAACAGCACATTTTACTATAAAAATATTAATTCAATACCCTAGACCCGATAGCGAAATAAGGTATATCAAATCAATTGTGAAATTTTTGGTAGGCAAAGGCAACGCTTAGGTATTTTATTTAAGTTAGTATTTACATAGCCTCATTCAAGAAAATTCTACAGCTTATTAGCTCTTGAATAAGTCATATCTTTCTAATTAAACTGTTTGAACATACTTAATATAAATAAAAAGGAAGCATGAACATATATGTATCAAATGTCACAGTCAGTTAAAATTAAATGAGTAAAGGGTATATTGAAAGCTATCATCACGTCCGTTCACAATTGTGTTTAACAGTCTGATTGGACAGTTTTGTTAACAGATGTTATTCGGACGCCGTGGTGGAAGCATTAAACATTTAAGTGCATATGTTTGTTGTTTGAAAAAGTAGTTGAGCGCTATTCGACGGAGGTAGCTGTGTGCAAACTCGGACGTTATTTAATAATAATAAATTGTGTGTGTGTGTCCGTGTGTAAATCGATCGATCGAAAACAACAATGAAGGTCTGTTGCATTGGCGCTGGTTATGTTGGCGGCCCAACGTGTGCCGTAATGGCGCTCAAGTGTCCAGATATTACCATAACACTGGTCGATAAAAGTGCCGAAAGAATCGCCCAATGGAATTCGGAGAAATTGCCCATTTATGAGGTTTGTTGTAGTCAAATAGTTGCTGGGCGGATGGTCGGATCGTGTTTCAACAGAGAGTGTGTTGAGCAAAATATATTGCACGACCCGTGCATGTGTGTGTGTGATGCGTGTGTGTATGCATTTAAATAATGCCTATGCGTGTGCGACTCTGCCTGCGTATGTTGGGCTTGAGATTTCACGCGCTGTGTGCTAAATAGAAATAGAAAAGACGCGAATAATCCTAAGCAATCAGAAGTACAGATACGAATACCAAAAAAATACGTCGATGAACTCCTCTTATTGCCCATGTTTCAAGTAGCCCGTCTCTCAATCGTTAAATACACGAATATCTTGAAACCAGTTCCCCATCGACTGCTGCTGACTGATTCAAACTGATTTGTATACAAAGCGCACCCTTTTTTGGTGTTGTTATTGTTGTTGTTGCGCCCAAACAAACAGCAGAGTGCGTGTTAAGCGTAATCGTAGCTAACAGGGAAGGAGGCATGAATGGAGAGAAGAGAATGGGCGAGAAGAGAGAGAGCGAGAGAGCACATGATCTTCACAAATGGTGAATGCAGTCACAAATTGTAGGTGCTCGTCGCAATTTTTGGGATTTAACAAGGTGATTGGTCAGTGGTTTGTCAGCGCAGAGGTGAAACCCAATAAAACAAACACAAAAAAACTCATTACTCATTCATAATAAAAAACAATTGTTTGCATTTACACTAGCTAACAAGATTAACTTGGCAATTCGCTTTTGACCTAATTGGCCGCTAAAACTTACACTTTACACATTATTTCTCCATTCTCCATTCTCTATTCTTTATTAGTTGTCGCATTTCCTTCTTTTTATGATATTCTCCACTTTGGTTTCCGCTCGCATTTCACTTAACTAATAAAATCCTTATCAGCGCTGGCCACATAATGTCTTGTGAGGCAGATAAGCAGCTAGCAGCAGCAGCAATATGCTAGGCCTGCTATCAGTCAGTCCAACGCTGGATAATGTCAAATTTATATATTTATACATATATAGTGGAATTTTTTTCAACTATTAGAACGGGTTGCGTACACGTTAAATATCACAAGTAATCACTTATTATATATATATATACAACATTCCGAGAATTATTATCTGGTCATTAGGCCAAGGAGCCATACATGATTATCTTGTATTGCCGCTTCGTTGAGACTTCATCATAATGCAATAATTTTAAAACTGAACAACAACAACAAGGAGAATAGATATAATGCTGACATTGACATCGACTGCAGTTTCTTTACCCAGGTGCCACTTTTGTTGCTGTTTTTTTTTTTGTGTTCATCTAAGTTGTAAATTTTGTAATTGCTTTTCGTGTTTTGTTTATCAGCAGAGACGAGTCTTCGCTTGAATATAATTGTATTTACCAATTGCATTCCTACTCGGTCTAACTGACTGCAAAATGCTGTTTCTGCATAAATTACTATGAGTTGACTTCCTCTGTGATGTCGGCGTTTATGCTAGTACAGTAATCGCTCGCATAGAAGGCAGTTATCCGGATATAATTGTCACTCGGCTTTATTTAATTTCAATTCGACTTATCATATTGCTCTAGGGAAATTATTTGTATTTTATATTATACATTACAATCATTGAAATAATTAAAAAAAAACAAAAACGATGAAATTGCATCGAATTGGAATTTTGCAGCAATATAAATCAACCTTATTTTGGTGCATTATTCTTCAAATAAAGTATAAAGTATCATATGAATTTCATGCATTTATTTCATTGTTATCTGCTGTTTATTTTAAGAATTGAATACATTAACAAGTAAACAGTTATAAATACATTTTTATATTATTTTTAAAATCTGCGCTTTGTTTTTACCATAAAAAGTTTAGCTAAGAAAGCAAGATAAAGTAGGTGACAGCTGGCGGCTAGATACGGTTTCTACACGCTTCCTCAATACAATGGAGCGTCAGCAATCTTATCTTTCAACAACGTGATTCAAGCTTAATATATAAGTATCTCAATATATAATTATCTGCATAATTTTGTTAAGAAACGTGTCTCTTAATGCTTTGCAGCCCGGTCTGGATGAGGTGGTGAAGAAGTGTCGCAATGTGAACCTGTTCTTCTCCACGGACATAACAACTGCCATTAAGGAGGCTGATCTGATCTTTATATCGGTGAATACGCCAACGAAAACCTGTGGCAGTGGCAAGGGTAAGTCCTGAATATGCCACCAAAATGATCAACATATTAAACAACATTGTATTCAAGGTCGAGCTGCGGATCTGAAGTATGTGGAGAGTGCGGCGCGGATGATTGCTGAGATCGCGCAGTCCAATAAAATTGTGGTCGAGAAGAGCACGGTGCCGGTTCGGGCTGCAGAGAGCATAATGCACATATTGCGTGCAAATCAGAAGCCTGGCATCCACTACGATATCCTGTCGAATCCCGAATTCTTGGCCGAGGGCACCGCCATCAACGATTTGCTGAATGCAGATCGTGTTTTAATTGGGGGCGAGGAGACGCCCGAGGGCCATCAGGCCGTGGAGAAGCTATCGTGGATCTACGAGCACTGGATACCAAAGAAGCACATACTCACAACCAACACGTGGAGCAGCGAGCTCTCCAAGCTGGCAGCCAATGCATTCTTAGCGCAGCGCATCTCAAGCATCAACTCCTTGTCGGCGGTGTGCGAAGCAACCGGCGCCGATGTCTCCGAGGTGGCACGTGCTGTCGGCCTGGACTCGCGCATTGGCTCCAAGTTTCTGCAGGCGTCGGTGGGCTTTGGCGGTAGCTGCTTCCAGAAGGACATACTGAATTTGATCTACATATGCGAAAACCTCAATTTGCCTGAAGTGGCTGCGTATTGGCAGCAGGTCATCGACATGAACGACTACCAGAAGCGTCGCTTCTCCCAGAAGATCATCGAGAGTCTCTTCAATACGGTGTCGGACAAGCGCATTGCCATCCTAGGATTCGCCTTCAAGAAGAATACGGGCGATACACGCGAAACGGCGGCGATTACCGTCTGCCAGACGCTGTTGGAGGAGGGCGCCAAGTTGGACATTTATGATCCGAAAGTGGAGCCGGAGCAGATTATCGACGACCTAACGCATCCCAGCGTGACGGAATCTCCCGAAAATGTGAAGAAGGCCGTGCAAATACACAGCGATCCGTACAGCGCTGTGCGTGCCACGCACGCTTTGGTCCTCTGCACGGAATGGGATGAGTTTGTGGACCTGGACTATCAGCGCATCTATCAGTCGATGATGAAGCCGGCATACATCTTTGACGGACGTAAGATACTCGATCACGAACGATTGCTGCAGATTGGCTTCCATGTGCAGACGATTGGTAAAAAGTATCAGAGGGCTGGATTGTTGCGCTCGTGGGGCATTGTGCCGCAGCTGTAGGGCCAAGTGGGGCGTGGCATTTAAGACTTAAAGCTGTCGAAACATTTTGCAGTATTTACAAAGACTAACTGTGTAAATAATGCTTTTATGTTTGATTATTTTTTATATAAATAGTTCAAGTATTCACCTAGATACTGCTAAGTATTCCTATTTCTACAATTCCTACAACCAAATGTCGATTCCAGATGCAATATAAATATTAACTTTACCGTTGCAAACGGACAAAACCCAAGTGGTACCACAACTACTTACAGGATATTCAATTCTGTACCATTTGATCATTAACGAAAACAAAACAAAAAATGCATTTACTCAAGCATGTAAATTTTATAAAATAAACATTTATAACTCATAATATGAACAATGTATTTCTATCAAAATGGTATTCGTTTAACAATCTGTCGATACCAAAGAAATGAGGTGGCTGCCGATAAGCTAAACCAGGTAACCAAATACGACATGTGATCGTTGCGCAGTGTGACACGCGTCTGTCCGCCTACAGGACTATTGTCGGCGACTGCTTTGGGATCGTAGACGGCATCTAGGAAGACGGCAGCTGCTCCACTGCTCGCACACATCTTGGGCAAATCCCGATAAAGATAAACTTTGCCCTCTTTGTGATCGGGCGTAAACTGGGGACGACTCTCGCCTTTCCGTACAACTGCTGTCAGCTCCACTTCCTTTGGAGATTGACCCATTGCGCGTGTCTCCTTGTCCATGTGCTTGCGCGATATCCAGCCTCGATTTACGAGCACAATGTCACTAGTTCAAAGTTGGAACAAGAGTTGGCAATTAAGAGAACGTGTCTGGAATGCATCACAACTCACTCCCTGTCCGACAGCTGGAATGGTGTGACGACGAGAAAGCCATTGCCGGTATCGCGCTGCGAGAAGAGACCACCTTGCGTCTCGACGCCATCTGGTCGGATGAGGGAGCGTGGTCCCATCAACATTTCCTTGTCGTGCAGAAAACGTCCTCGCAACTTGACCAAACGGTATTCCATGTGCGACAAATGACTTAAGCTGCATGAGATCAAATTATTGACAAATGCATAGAGCAGAACAACTTGGAGTTGGCATACTCATCGGGCAGTTCCGTTGGCGCCATGTGCAGTTGCTCAGCTAAGTCCTTAATTAGCTGCTCCTTCCAGATCTTACGCTTCACCTGCCAAACACCCAGACCAAATGTTGTGGCGGGTATGAGCTACAAGTTGGGAGACATTCAGTAATTGTTCTATGTGATTTTATATGTTATGCAACTCACAAGCAGAAACCAACCCAGCGCTGTGATCTTCTCCTTATCCTTAGCCCCAGTTGGAATGCTTGTTGTCCAGTCTACTTTTTGATGCTGTTGTGTCATCTTTCTAGTCACGAGTTGCAGCCGGGGCATCTTGTTGGTGCTGTGGGGCAGGCGTAGCAGTGCAAAGGATTGTTTGCACATTTGGGCACTTAAACGCAGCATAATTAACGGTTTTTTTTTATTTTTCCGGTAACAAGAAAAACAAATATACAATTATGTTCACCGTTCGGTAATTCTGTTAACACTGAGCAGCTCTGTTAAATCAGCTGTGCACTTGCAGCACCGGTTTTGTTTTCGCACAAGTTGGCAGCGCCGTCTGATATTGTAACATTAGGTTTTTGTTTTAAACAATTAGAATACGGTTTAAAAAGAAGCATGTGGTGCACACGCTCAGCTGCAAGGCTGGTCAGTGGCTTAACAACAACGCTGGTAAGGGAATACATTGTGACAATAAATGAAATGGCTGTTCTGATACATTTAGTACTGCACCTGCATCACTCTTATATAAACCACAACGACTCTTGTTTTCATGCCACAGCGAGCGCAACAAACATATAAACAACATGGAGTGGCGGCTCTGACCGCCAGATTCACAGAGCAATGCAGTTTCTGCTCAACTGGCGTCGTGGACAGTCCCAACAAGGCAACAAAACAAACCACAGAGGATGGCAGCATATTAAAACGTGTTCTGACCAAAGTGGGCTTTGCGCCCAACACAAAAGCCGTAAGAAATGCATACTATTACTGATAATTCGAAAATTTATCTGAAACTCGATTACAGCGCCTTAAGGTAACCAGTCACCTGCTGTACGAGAGTGTGGCGGACAAGATCAACTATGTGGCCTTCTTTCGCGATTTTAATCTGCCCAATACGTTCAACTCCTGGTTTCTGGTCACCGAGCTGCATGTGTGGCTATTGCTGATGCGCTCCATGGCCGAAGGCGCCGAGACCGGCGAGGATGGACGCTTTCTGCGCAACTGCATTGTGGAGGCCATGTGGGGAGATGTTAACACACGAGCCAAAAAACTGGGTGTAAGTAATCGTCTCCCATCTGAGTGTATTGCCTAAGCCAATCCCATTTTGCAGGCCAATAACCCATCGCGAACCAGACAACAAATTGAGACGCTCTCCGAACAGTTTCAGGCGGCGTTGATTGCGTACGACGAGGGCATCATGTCGGATGATCGTGTGCTAGCTTGTGCCCTGTGGCGTCGATTCTTTGAGATGGACTGCGAGGATTATGTCCACATCGAAAGACTTGTCAAATATGTGCGCCAGCAGACCATCATGCTGGATAATTTAACACGCGATCAGTTTATAACGAAACCAAATGTGGCCTGGCTCGATCTGGACAAGTGCAAAGTGGATGCATAGAGAATGTTTCTTGTTTAGTTGGTGTTATTAAAGTCAATCTATATACAATTCCTATGTCTAATCAGTTTTAAATAACTAGATCATCGATGGGTTCATCGACCAACGCTCGCAGCTGACACTTGAGCACAAAGGCCAGGATGCGACGCTCCGCTAATTCTTTTTGTTGTCCCTTCAGTTGACCGAGGATTTTGCCCATTTTCTGATAATCACTGGCAGGCGACGCGAGCAGTTTACTCAATTCAGAGTGAGGAGGCGCCACCCTTTCTTTCGCAGTGGGTTCTATGGTAACTGGCAGATGTTCCTCTTCATCATGCTCCACTTCATCCACTTCAGCATCTTCCTCGTAAATGATTTCTTCGTGTAAAATTTGATCATTTGTCTGTTCAATGATTTCCTCAATTATGAGTGTGCTGTCCGCATGCTGTTCCATTTCATCGGTGACGTGCATCACGACACAATCATTGAAAGACTGCAACTCATCCTGATCCACAAACGATTCCTTCGGCACCTCGTCAGCTGTCTGGTTTTCTGCCTTCAGCCTGGTTTTCTGTCGAGTTTGCACTTCCTTCAGAAAACGGAGTCGCTCAAAATATGGCCATGTGGAACCACCAGGTCGACGAGATTCTTTGCGAAACTGGTAGTGCAGATTGTTCCAACGCATCAGGCAGAATTTCACTGCAAAGTTGGGAATTGTTAGTGTTTACATTTGTCAGAGGCGGAACTTTTTCATTACCATCGCACTCCATAATTTCTGCTATTTTGGACCAGATTTCCGTTTTGACCTTCATAACGTCGTAATTCGAAAGTCCCGTCTGGCGTTTATACAGCACGGTATTTGGTTCGACATGGTCAATTAGCTTAAAATCAAACGGACGATTCTTTTTATAACTGGTGCGCATATTTAATACGATATTCGCAAGAAATTACTTCGCATCTATGCCGGCATGACACTAAGCATTTTCAATAACACTGAATATGTCAAAGTGGAACTATTGTTTTTATTAAATTTGTGTTCAATTATTATTTGTTTGTCATATGTGTTAAATTTTTAATACATTTCAAAGTACATCATTAATATTTGATTGCATTTTAAAACAAATATAGTGTCATTCCACTATTTACAGAGTTGCCTCAACAGAGTTGCTTTGTCTTAAATGTATCGAAAAATTATTGATAAATAGCAGTGTTGCTGTTGAGTCAATCTTCGGTTTCTTTCATCACTAAATACTGACGTAGGTGCAAAACCTGGAAAATTTTAAGGTGAAGTGAAAATTGCAAAAAAAAAACACAAAAAAAAGATAAACCATTTGGCAATTAATTTGACAATTTAAGTGCTGATAAATATGAACATGTAAGTAAATAATCGAGCTCAATTGGGGCACGTAACAATGAGTTTTAGCGACATGTGCTGATGTTTAGAGAGAGGGATTGCTGGTGGTGGTGGAGGGTACGAACGACCTAGAGAAAATTGTCTTAAAACATTTTGGTTAAAAATCGATAATTCAAAATGGCTGGTAGAAAGTAGCTTATGAAAATTAAATCGAAAAGTTAATGTGAAGTTTGGAACTGCTTTTGATTGAGTGATTCAAAATTATAACTAATGGCACATTACGCTCGTTCCAGGTATAACGGACAGGTAAATAGTGGTTATATGGGTGGCGCATCAGCCGGTGGCATGCCAAACAATCGCATGGGCGCTGGCGGCGGCGGTGCTGGAATGTTCCAGCGCAATCGTTCCGCCCCATACATTCGTGGCGGACCCGGCGCCGGCGCTGGCGCAGGCGGCGTTGGTGGATTCAATAGTGGTCGCATGAATATGGGCGGACAAGGCAGTATACGCAATGATTACGGTGGGCAGAACAGCAATCGCACATCCACTCATGGCGCCCACTTGCCGGCCATCGTTTGGGCCGAGGTCTCGCTGACTCCGTTCCGTAAGAACTTTTACAAACCGTGCGATTCCGTTCTGGCACGCACCAAGGGCGAAACGGACAGTTTCTTGAGCACCAATGAGATTACGATCAAAGGCCAAGAAGTGCCGACGCCCAGCATTGAGTTTGAGGAGGGCGGCTTTCCCGACTACGTAATGAATGAGATACGCAAACAGGGCTTCACGAAGCCGACAGCCATTCAGGCACAGGGCATGCCCATCGCGTTGAGTGGACGCGATCTGGTTGCTGTGGCCCAGACCGGTTCCGGCAAAACACTGGCCTATGTGCTGCCCGCCGTTGTGCATATTAATAATCAGCCGCGTTTGGAGCGCGGAGACGGACCCATCGCTCTCGTGTTGGCGCCCACACGCGAATTGGCCCAACAAATTCAGGCGGTGGCCAGTGAGTTTGGCTCGAATACGCAGGTGCGGAATACTTGCATTTTCGGTGGCGCCCCCAAGGGACAGCAGGCGCGTGATTTGGAGCGTGGTGTGGAGATTGTGATAGCGACACCGGGACGACTTATTGATTTCCTAGAACGCGGCACCACCTCACTGAAACGCTGCACCTACCTGGTGCTCGATGAGGCCGATCGAATGCTAGACATGGGCTTCGAGCCGCAGATCCGCAAGATTATGCAACAGATACGCCCGGATCGCCAGGTATTGATGTGGTCCGCCACCTGGCCCAAGGAGGTACGCCAACTAGCCGAGGAATTCCTGAACAATTACATACAGGTCAATATTGGTTCTCTGTCGCTGAGTGCCAATCACAATATACTCCAGATTGTCGATGTGTGCGATGAGTCGGAGAAGATTGCCAAACTGGTACAGCTACTGACACAGATCTCTGGCGAGAACGAGACCAAGACCATCATCTTTGTGGAGACCAAGAAGCGTGTGGATGAAATAACGCGCAATATATCACGTCAGGGTTGGCGCGCATGCGCCATCCATGGCGATAAGTCGCAGCAGGAGCGCGACTTTGTGCTGTCCAGTTTCCGCAATGGACGCCATTCGATATTGGTGGCCACCGATGTGGCCGCACGCGGATTGGGTGAGTTTTTCGTAGCTTTTGCGCCGCCAGCTGGCTAAGAACAGCTGCTGTGTTGTGTTTAGCCAGCTGTTTTGTCGCGCCTCTGTTGTCCTTTTTTCGATGCGCTCCATAACCAATAACCGAGCAACTGTTGCTGTGGATTAACAACATGCCCAAAAAAAAAAATCAAAAAAAAAAAAAAATGAAAAGAAAAAACGAAAAAAACCAATATGCAAAAATACAAATTGGTTTTTGTTTCATTATTTGAGATTCGTCGTCGTCGTCGTCGCCTGGCAGCGATCGCGTCTGCGATGAATCCGATGGCCAACACCGACCAGCCTCTTACTCCAACTATTTCCTTCGCTTTCACTCTCTAAATCTCTCTCACATTCTCTATCTTTGTATTTATCGTTGACTTAATCGCTTCTCTCGCAACGTTCGCGTGAGATCAAAAAGTCCACCGATTTGTGCATTCATTTTTTACTACAGGTTCAATTGTGCATTGCATGTCGAACTTATCTATTACTCTCCCACCAACCTACCCTTACATCCACATCCATATCCCCAACCACATCCCCATTCTCCTGCAGCTTCCGTTCGTGGAAGCATTCGGAGTATCCCAATTCTTTTTGGTTTTCCGGATTTCAGTATTGTTTTCATTTATTTCGTTCGCTATTTGAAAAGAAAAATAAAACAAAACAATCGAGAAATGGTGTGGTCGAAAATAATGAGGGGAATGTGTTCTCCATGCATTTTGCTGGTTATATGAAGTTCTTTCGTTTTTGGTTGTATATATGCATACACACTATGTATCGTATCTACTATTGTATTTTTAGTTTTTGTTGCCCTCGTTTCGATATAGTCTTTTAGTTGTGCTTCGTCAAGTTACATTTGAGTAACCTAACGTACCATAAATGCAATTTGTTGTCAGTCAAGGACTCAATGGCCTAGCAAAATACGAGTAAAAAGCAAAACAATAAAAGAAAAAAGTAAAAACTAATATTTGACGCTCGTTTGATAGTTGTGTTCAAAAAAACGCTCTTTAAAAGGATTTTGCCAGCTGCTGGAACTTTCTGGAAGGGCTTGCGCCTTTGAAGGGTTCTTAACTTAATGTAATCTTTTTTTTTACATTTTTTTTTGTTGTATATAATTATAATTCGGTTTAAGATTAACAACAAAAAAAAAAAAAACACTTAAATCCATTTTGCGGCCAAGAAATTTTTGACTGATGCTTATTTTCGTAGATTATTTGTATTTTACCATAAAAGTATTATGTATATTGTATATTACGTCGCTCCTATATGTATAAAACCTAAATTTGTGTGTGAACAAAAATATCATCAGCACTTTTTGAAATGGACTTCGATTTTTTTAATGGCAAAAGTAAACAAAAAAAAAAAAAACAAAAAAAGAAAAAAAAACAAACAATAGATAAAGTTAAATGTTTAAAAGTTGTATACACAAAACAGATCAAAAAAAAAAAAGAAAAAAAGTTAAGCTTTATATACAAGTTGAGGGTTGAATTCTTAAGTTTTTAGCAACGCGGAACTCTCATCACTTAAGCTCCGTGCCCAGGCTACATCTACAACAACAACTACCGAAACAACAACAGAGCCGTAACAACATTTTTTACGTAAGCCCTATCTAATATAATCATAGAACGCACACGGGGTAAGTACTAGGCTAATTATGAACCTCGCTCTCTCTCTCTCTCTCTCTCTCTCGCTCTCTCTCTGTCTCTCTCACTTACCTACCACTCTTTCTTCGTATCTATCAATCAAAACTTACTGTTATACGTCGCCACCCCGACCAAGTCTACACCGATCCCAGCTTTATCCCCAGCCAGATACTAACTGAATCTAAGCACCCTCTCATTACATTATTATTATTATATAACCTACATCTTAAGTTTAATCAAGCCGTCTCTTGTATGCATTAAGCTTAAAAAAAAACGAAGTATATACTTATATATATATATATAATTATATTAAATAAAGATTTGTGTATTTCAAAAAAAAAGAAAGAAGAATGAGAACACAAAGGTCGAGGTCCACATTTCTGCAGTATAGAAAAAAACATATATCTGTTTGCCAAAGATGTATAGTTATTAATATACGCTAAATAGTATTGATGGCGAAATTTTTGTTCAAAGTACAAACCAAATCAAAAAAAAAAAAGAAAAGAATTATATATTAATAATATAGATAAAAAAAAACTTACAAAATAATCAAAATTGTTCAATTGCTTATTTAAGTTTAGCAAAAGAAAAAAAAATCAAAAATATCCACAAAAAACCACACACATAAGTTTCTGTTTTTGTTTATAGTTCTTTGAGTATGTATATTTTGAGAAAATATATAATTTGTAAAATGTGTTTAACATATTGATCACTTCTTCAATTTTCAAATCACGATAATACGAAACAGACGTTGACGATGTCAAGTTTGTTATCAATTATGATTATCCTTCGAACTCGGAGGATTACGTTCACCGAATCGGACGTACCGGACGCTCCAATAATACGGGCACGGCCTACACCTTGTTTACGCACTCCAATGCCAACAAGGCAAATGATTTGATCCAGGTGCTGCGCGAGGCTAATCAGGTGAGAGACATTCAAATGCCAATTTGCAATATAGAATGTAAATGATGATTATAATTATTCTTCTGATTCTTTCAACCTGCAGACCATTAATCCCAAGTTGCTGAACATGGCCGCCAGCGGTGGCTATCAGAAGCGCGGCGGCATGGGTGGCTATCGTGGCAATAGTGGTGGCTATCAGGGACGCAACCAGCAAATGGGTGGCAACAACAACTATCGCAACCAAAATCAGAACAACAATATGCATCGAAATAGTAACCCCAACACTGGCGGCTACAATCCAGGCGGCGGTCAGCCACGTTACGATCAGAAGCCGCAGCAGCGCTCATCGCCACCAGTCTCAGGCACAGGCTATCGTCCGCCATATCAACAGCAGCAGCAGCAACAGCAGCAGCAGCAGCAGCAATCGCAACATCAGCAGCAGAATGGCGTGCAATTCTCGCGCTTTAATCCTAATGCCGCTTGCTTTGAGCCAAAGACCCCGGCACCGGGAATGCCATCGCAGCAGCAACATCAGCCTCAGCATTTGGCTGCGGCTCAGGCAGCAGCAGCCGCAGCAGCTGCCGCTGGCTATGGTTATGGCATTGATCAGAAACGCTCTCGCTTTGCCTTGAACTTTAATATGCCGCCGCCACCGATTCCACTGCAACAGCAACAACAGCATCAGCAGCACCAGCAGCAACAGCAGCCGCAACAACAGCATCCACAGCCACAGCCATCGCAGCCACAGCAGTTGGCGGCTGGTGGTGCCGCTTCTCTGCCACAACAGGCATACGGACAGTATAACAGCATGTCCAGCAGCATGGCGACGGTGTCCCTAAATGGAGGCGCACCCAGTTTACCGGCCAACGCCTACCGGTCGCCGTATGCGATGCCATATGTGATGCCGCCACCACCATTACCCGTACAAAACTAAACAGTATACAGCCAAATTGTACGAGCTTAATCTAGAACTGGACCCTTATGAGTTAGTTGGTCTAGCTATTTTTAGCTCTAATGTAATTTCCTTTCCTACTCATAACAAACAAAAACACAAAACAATACGACAAAACACACATATTCACTCAGATATCAGAAAATTGAGTATGTTAACATTATTAGAGAGACAATCTCTAACGTCAGAGACTTGTGTAGATCTCCTCCGCCCACATGTTAGCAATATAATATGGTTTAAACCGGAATCAAATACGCTAGCTAATTTAATTAATATTATTTCCTTCGCTTCTTTAATAATAATAATAATAATAATAAAAATTCGAAATGTACTATATTAGGCATTGGATTTATCTTTCCAGCGCCTAATCTAGCGTATTTGATTTCTATAACTATTCTCGAATATAGAGTATTCTATCTTAAATATCAATGCAAAATATTTTGCAATAATTTGCAATGCTCCAAGCAACAATCGACACTGAAACAAAGCCTAATTATTTTAATTTCTTAGAATCAAATGCGTATTATAAACTTAAACCATATTATGTGACTAGTCTAAATGGTTTAGCTGGAACCCACACGACAATTTTCACTAAAAACAATATAAGAAAAAAAAAAAACACTAAAAACATTGAATTAAATAAATGTATAATTCCATTTAATGTAAACTACTGAATTGATTTACAAATTATGAATAAAGGAGTTAATTAGACAACAGCTCTTTTTTTTTGTATTTACTATTAAAAAATAACCATGAACTATATAAATTCTTGATCAGCTTTAATTGCAGACTCGACTGGAAAATTGCAAACTGAAAAATGGCAAAAAAAATTAAAACTTTGGTGTTACTGCTGCCGATACAAGTTATAAATTTCATTGTCGGCAACCATTCATAAGAGATCATTGAGGAGAGCGTTGGCGAGATTATTGTAGAGATGCCAAATAGTTATAAAACATTGCGCCTTTGTCTCGATAAAAGCTTATAATCCGCAGGGCAATAATAAAACTTAATTTGTGTTAATGTAATTCACGGGAAATACTCGCATTTGAGTGCAATATCATAAAATCGTCGATTAATTGCTTTAAAAGTGTTTTCTGCGCAAATGAAAGCGCAAGGTGTGCATATAAAATAAAATATACTCTTTATAAGATTTGCTGTTCTTTTATTGTTGTGTTGTGTAAAGTAGATAAAGGCAAATAAATAAATTCAAAATAGCGAATGAGAATGCCTGTTTTGCCGTTTTGTTAAGAGAAGTCTAGTGTGAACTGAACGAAATTTGTCTATTGTTTTAGACCGTCTATAAAGATGAATATTATGTTCTTGGTTCTGCCGGTGAGTGCCTATTTTTGTGTTCTGATTTTCGATTCATTTCACATTCACACACATTCACATAAACATCTAATCAAATACTTGCCGTGTTAATGCATTCAAAATGTTCAAAGGGATTTTAGGGAACCGACAAGTAAATATTTCCCCCAACTGTTTTTAGTATTAATTATCGATTTGCTAAACTTAATTGATTTGCTTTTATTTTCATTTTTAAATATATATATATATTTTATATAAGAAAAAACTATTATACATCCAAAATTATTCATAATAATAAATAGAACTAAAGTATACAAATATTACTAGACAGACCATCGTCATCATCAATTTAAATGATCATTAGTGGCTATCATCCATCCGTCTATCCATCAATCCAACCATCGATCAATACATATAACTTTCTAGCTTCAATGTTACCTCGTATGACCATTTCTTTTGTATTTTGGTTTTGTTTTCAAAATTTGTTTAGCTCACACATTTTACAGAATTTATTTTAAAAATTACACGATGAATATGATTATGACTAACAAAATTGTGAGAATGTAGAAGTCATTTTAGTTTATTTTTGTGTTTTGTGTTTGTAACATTGCTAACGGGGTTTCTTGCTGTTGTTGTTGTTGTTTAGTTTGTTTTGTTTACATACATAGCATAATTATGTTCCACTCGATCCTTAAACTATTTGTCTGGCGCAAACTAATCATCTTTAATCTTCGCTCTTTGGCTACCTGTTGATTACTTGACTTGTTGACTTGACTTGACTTTATATATATTTTTTTAGTTATAATGCAATTCATTCTTGAGCCGCATAGCTTTCATTAGTTGTTGTTGTTGTTGTCATATGTGGTTGGGGCGTATCTGCCCCTAGGGGGAGGACTGAAACATTGAGTGCACTTTTACAATTTTTTGTCGATTTTTTTTTCGTTTTTTTTTTTTGTCTTTTTTATAATGTTTAATTTAATTTAATATAATTTGTTTGTTAATTTTGCTTAATTTTCTTCTTTGGCGCAGTTGACTAATTCAGTGTGTTGTTTTTGTTATTTCTTTTTATTTTTATTTTTTGTTATATTTGTTTTGGTTTGCTACGGTTTGCTGCTTGCTGCTTTACATATATAGATATCACGAGAGTTCCTGCGAGAACTGCGTCTCCAGGGTGGGTCTAGTTCTAGTTGGATTCCGGTTGGGATTGCGTATCGGTGGTCCGGGGCTGCCATAGCCCGCCGCATACAGCTGCGGGCACGAGTCTTTTATAAGTTCCTGCGTCTCGCGCAACTGCCGCTGCACCTGCGGCGCCAATCTCTGCACGCTTATGGCCGGCGGAAATTTATATTCCGTGGGTGGCGCGGGCTGTGGAACAGGTTAAACACAATTGTAAAGCATTTTGCAGTGTTATGTAAAGGTACGAGAGTTCCTTAAATATATAAGGCTTGCTTATGATCTTATCAGAAATCATAGCTTATACAAATGAGGGGAACAATAGATCAGAGAACCCTAAACGGATTGAGCTATTAGTAAAAGCTTTTGACAGTTGCAGAATTATAGCACTAAACAGCCAATACATTATTGTATTGTAGTATTGACTGCTTAGTGATTATAGCCAATATAAGCCAGAAAACCTAAGCTTATAGCACGATTTGCTTTTGGTTGCAAGGATAATCCAATTCGAAGTAGTCAGTGGTCTTTTGAATGCATTTATATTTCGAAATATTCTTATTTACAAAACAACAGACAAATGGGCATATCTATAGACACACTCATCGTCTGATATCAACAGTAGAATAAAGATAGTTTCTCGATTCGGAGGCAGAATATGGTGTCCCAAATATGATACTTATATAGGCATTCGATCCGGCTGAGTTTTATCAATATAGCTTTAAAACGGAAGGACTAGTTTTAAAAAGTATCTTCTCACCTGCACGTTGTGCATGACCTCGCCGTAGTAGGCGCCGGCTGCAGGTGCGGCATGTTGCAACTGTGAGGTTTGTGGCTGCAACGGTTGCTGCTGCGGCTGCTGTTGCTGCTGCTGCTGCTGACTTTGGCTGTGTGGAGCGGTTTGTGGTTCATACGATTCGGAGGCGATGGGAACTGAGGTGGAGGCCGCTTGAGCGGCACTCTGTGGGGCAGTGCTCGGCAGTACGCCGTAGTAGGAGAGCTGCAACGGAGCGCGTCCGGCTGTTGCGCCAGCGCCATTTAGGAAGCCCGTCACGCCGGCCTGCATCAGCGGCGAATTCGCCGCAATATACTGAACTGGAACATTGACTGGCATAGGAACAGAAACAGGAACAGAGCCAACTGGTGGTGAGCTGCCTGCGGCTCCTCCTGCTCCTGCTCCTGCTCCAGGGCCAGTGTACAACAGATGCCGGGGGCTGACACTTTGAGGTTTGGTGCCTGCCGGCAGCGACAGCATATGACCGCCATAGGCAGCCAATTGTTGTTGTTGTTGTTGCTGCTGTTGCTGATGTTGCTGGTGTTGCTGGTAGAGTATCAGCTGTTGTTGCTGCTGCTGTTGCAACTGACTAAGTTGCGCAGCGGCAGCTGCATTGGCATTGGACGTATTGACAAGATTGGAATCGAGCTGTGGCAGCAACTGTTGCTGCAGCATTAGCTGCTGCTGCTGATAGAGGCTTGCCACTTGATGTTGCTGCTGTTGTTGCTGCTGCTGTTGTTGTTGTTGTTGTTGTCTGCCCGCCAGGACGTGTTGAGGTAGATACTCGGTCGTGGAGAGCGGGCTGCTGCAAGCCGTTGTTGTGGTCTGCAACAGATGACTCGTGGATGTTCTCGTCTTGAGTGGCATCTGCACCTGCTGCTGCTGCTGCTGTTGCTGTTGCTGCTGCTGCTGCACCAGCTGACGTATGGGCGTCGTCTGCAGCGATCGACTTGCCGAGGAGCAAATGGATGCGGTCAGGCTGGCGGATTCCCAATGCTGCACCAGTGCATTCAGTCGCGCCTCCTCCAAGGCAATTTCCGTCTCGCTCGCTGAGTCGTAGTCGGGACCCTATGGAATATTTGTAATTGCTTAGCAAGTTTCCCAAGCTTTGGATTATAGTTTCTTCTGTTTACCTCGTCGATCTTCTTGTCCAGCATGCGAAAGAAGTTCTGTTGGCTTGATGATATTTCTCTGCAAGGTGCAGGCAGTTTTAGTTGGTTAGAGTTTAGAGGGGGTGTGGGGACGGGCATATTCACAGTTATTTTGGTACTTACTGGCTTTGCAGCAGCGATAGATTTTTGGCACGTAGCAGCGACACAGCCACATCCTCCTCGGTGTCCTGTATGTCCTTATTGCTTAGCTCCTCGGTCTCGTCATGCTTCTCGCGCTCACGTTGCTGTGTCTTCTCCGCATCCTCAATGTGGCCTTCATCCTCGTCCGTCTCCGCATCTGAATCGGCTGTAACATAAAATCCATATACAGAAACTTGGCTGTGGCAAGTGGAAAACTAATGTAATCAAATTTTTGCAAGTGTTGCAGGAGAATGTCATTGAAAGTGCGCGCAGCGCATTTTGCAAAGTTTGTCGAAAAGTGGCACAAGCAAATTTATGAATTTGTGAAAAGTTGGGACTATTAAATCTTGAAGTTTATTCCTTATTTTAGTTTATTATTTATTTATTGTTAGAAACCTTTACTGTGGTCAATTGCGAGACACAAAGTCTTCAATTTTAAATAATATACATTAACATTAGTTGTCCTTCGTCGAAGAGATTATCTATAAATTTTTAAGCTGTTTTTCGCACACATACACACTAAAAACTCGTTTGGCTCATCGCTCGAAGGACTTCGTTCAATTGCCGGGTTTCTTTTGTAAGGTTTTTACTACATTTTCTCTTCCTTTTGAAGTTCTCTAAACCGTTTCGTCCCTTGGAAATTTAATTACAAGACGAGTTATGCATTTTAATGCAAATCTTCGGTAGCAGCAAGAAGAGGAAAAAAATGGGATATGAATGGAAAACTTTATAATTAATCTAACCAGTTCAAATAAGTCGAAAGACAGAGAGGCTCACTAAAGAAGAAGAAGCAGAAACAGCTAAGGCCATCAGGATTTGGGTATTTTATGGCACAATGGCGCCTTTGTGTATGCTACACTTTTGTTAACCCGTTATCAGCACACCCACACACACACACACACACACACACACACACACACACACACATGCACATACCGAATATATTAAGACAAGAGCACCCAAAGGGGCCACGCCCACTGAACTCGTGCGCCCACTGCAACAACAAGTTGTCTTTTAGTAGTTAATTAGACACACAAACACGCACACACACACACGCATGTGAGAGAAAGGCAGCCAGAAGAAGAAGAAGCAGCAGCAGCGCCGAAACTTTTATAGAATGTGGGCTAGGGCAACACAGTGTGTATATACACATGTATACACATATATATATATATACATATGCATATTATTTAGTGCTCTATTATACACAATGTGTGTGTGTGTGTGTGTGTTTGTGTGTGTTTATATATTTATGCCCTTGCCTGTGTGCTGCAGATTTGAAGCCTAGGCTGAATGCACAGCCTGAACTCATGCTGCTGACATATTAATCAATGATGTCCTCATTGTGAAAACAGGTGGCTTATACACACACAGACACACGCACACACACACACGCACACACACACACACAGACACACACGCACACACACACACAGCCATACACAGTTACTATATTTACGCATACAACGCTGCAGGCAAATTGATGTCGTCATGCGTGTAAGCTTTTGTTAAATGTGTACATACACGTATATATATATATATATATATAAATATATACATATATTTGTAGCCTAAGGCACTGTGGGCCACACGACCCCCTTTCTGCAATAAATGAATAACTCACGGCTTACGCGTTCTAATTAAGCATATTTTCAATTGTAGGTCAACAATAAAGATTTAGAGATGTAGGCGTGGCCTTTGTTATCCACGAGCGTATACAAAGTGAGTGATTAAAGTTTGCTAACGCTAACAACTTTAAAAATAAACTTTAGTCAACCATGGTGCAAGGCACACATACAAACACACACACACACAGACACTCTCGCGACTCCTTTGAACTTTGCTGCTGCTGTTGTTGCTGTTGCTGTTGCTTACCATGTCCTCCTTTCTTGCCATTTGCTTTACTCTTCGATTTCCTGGGATATAAATGTATTTTGCTCTGTCCACAGCCCATTTTCTGACTGTGCTGCTTCTGCTGCTTGCGTTGCTGCTGCTGCTGCTGCTGCGGCTGCTGCTGCGGCTGACGTTGGCGTTTACTTTAACGTTGACGTTGCGGTGAGTTGTTTTTGATTTTCTTTTATTTCTGCCGTTTTTTTGTTGTTGTTATTTATTAATTTGTTGCTCGACGCGTTCTGCGTGCGTCTGCTGCTGACGACCTGTGTATCCAAGATACACTTTCTCTCTCTATCGCACCTTTTCGCTCTCTCTCTTTCTTTTTGCCTCTATTTTATTTATGTTTTTGTCACACGTCTCTTTTTGTTTGTGTGCCTGTGTTTTTATTCAATTTTCACTAATTTAACTATGTGTGTGAATTTAATTTATTTAATTTCTTGTTGTTTAACGTTTCGAAATGAGTTTTTTGTTGTTGTTTTTAATGCGACAACATCAACAAAAACAACAATAAAACATAGCAGAGAGAATGGAACATTCCACGTTAGACACTTGTTCAAGAATTTCATTTGTGGACAACGTCGACGTCGTCGTCGTCGTCGTTGTCGCCGTCGTCGACGCCGCTGTCGGCGCTTGTGCGTAAAACGCCCACCCAACGACCCACCCCACTTCCAGTTTAAACCAAACAAAAAAAAAAAGAAGAAAATAAAGCAACTTTTGAAATGTGGCGGAAATTAACTTTTTGCCTTTGGACGGAGGCAGCCACAACGGGAACAACACGAATGGTCCGACTCTGAGCCACCCAGTTAGCAGTCTGACCCACAACCACTTGTTTTGCACAGCTACACATAAATTCAATTTGTAACCGTCAATTTGTAAACATGCACAGGACAGAAAACAGAAAACAGATAAAAGGGTTTGGCCCAGGGCTGCAATATAAAAATGCTGTTGTTGCTGTTATTGCTGCGTTGCTGCTGCTGCTGCTGTTTAAGTTTCTTTTGTTTTTGGATATTGAGAAGCGCGCCGTTTTACAGCTTTCAACACGTCGTCGCGTGCGTTGTTGTTGTTGTTGCTAATTTAAACAAATAACAATAATAAGCACAACAAATAATGCAACAAAAACACTTGAATTATATTCAATTATTCTCACATATAGCACAGCAGAGCAGAGCACAGCAGAGCAGAGCAGAGCAGCGCTGACCAAAGCAGAGCGTCAGCCTCTTGCTCTCGCTCACAGCATTGCTTATAATAGACACACAAACACACGCACACATACACACACACGCACACTAACATACATGTGCAAGCAGGCGAATGGGGCAGGCAGCGAGGCGCCAAACAGAGAAAGGTACTGAGAGAGAGAGAGAGAGAGTAAGTATGTCTGAGAGTAAGCTCCAGCGCCGCCGCTCTCTTTTCTGCTGCTGCTTGCTCCTGTATGTTTCTGTGTGTGTGTGTGTGTTTGTGTATTTGAGTGCGCGCTGCGTGCGAAATTGATTTTTCTATTTATAAAAAAAAAATCAAAATATATCTGTATTTTCGTTAGTTGCGCGGCGTTTTTTTTTTGTTGATTTTTTATATTGAATATTATTTTTTTAGCTGCTTCTGCCAAAAGCATAATTTATGTTTTATTTACGATTCGCGTTTCCCAATTGGCATTTTTTATTTAATCTTAACGTTTTCCTCCTGTGCACATTTTTTCGTAGAAAGAAACTTGTTTGATTTTTACGCAGCGCCACTTTGGGCACACACACAATTGGGGGTCTCGGCGACTCCGCGCGGCGTTTCCACCTCTACCCCCAAAAAACACACACAGACACACAGAATCCGAATCGAATATTTTTGCTATGGGGGGCAACATTTGTTGTGCGGCACATTTGGCCACCCCGTGCAGCAATATTTACCGCTTACTTTTATTTACACCATTTCTGATTTTAAGACTAAAGGAACTATTTGCGCATTGAGTTTTTCACTTAACATTATTTACACTTGTTTCATTTTGTTGTATTGTATTTTTTATGGATTTTCTGCGGAAAACTCGCCGAAAAAGTTTTCGTTTTCTTATTTTTTTTTTGGCTGCGACGCGTCGCTTGTGTGTGGAATTTTGTATGCTGAAATTTATGCTGCTTGACACTCCTCTTTGTGTCACACACAGCACACTTTTGTGCTTTTCTCGCGACGCGAACGCAAGAGCGTCGAGCACCGACAACTGAGAGCAGAGCGGAGCGGAGCGCAGCTTACATGCCAACACATGCGAAAGCATTCGCCAGAGCTTTTATGCTCAAGACTGCTTGCACTCTCGCTCTCTGTCTCTCTCTCGCCGTGCTCAAAGGGTGGGTTTTTTCTGGAGTGGAGTGTTTTTGGCTGGGGGTGTTGGTTTTTGCGCAAGCTTTCTTAACGCTGTAGGGCATGCTTTTGGCTGGAAAGCTGCAGACAGATACATATATTGTATTTAAATGGGGGTATGAATTCTGTTGTTTGCAAACTTAAAGCTTGCGTGAGCTTAATTTTGAAAGCTTGCCGCTGCAACTTTATTTAGGTGGTTGGCAACACGCCAAAGTTCAAAGTTTATTTTCCAACCCAACATTTTAAGCTTTTAGCAGAGTCCAGGCAAATAAATCTTTGTAGTTTTTTGTGTGTTTAAGATATTTATGCTCTGTCATGTTCAGCCTCATTAGTTTCCACAATTGCAGCGTCCAGCGCGACGCTCTGTTTCCGCTCAATGGCAGCAACACCAACAACACCAACCACAAGAGCAACCCCTAAAACTATTCGCCCTTGCCCCCCCCAAAGGATGAGATACGACGTTAGTGGATGGCATTATGCGTGTTTTGCCATGTGAATTTATTGCATAATAATGAAGTGAGAAACGTTACAAATCAAAACACTCGACTCCGCATCGAGATAAAGTTTATCTGCGGAGTTTTCCTTCTTTTTTTTATCATTATAATATTTTTGGGGCTGAATCGTTGGCAATTCATGTGCATTTGTCAGGCGCAACGGAATTGAAACGTTTGCTCTTTTATTGCCGCGGACGTGTGCCGCCCATCCTGCCAGCCGGGGTGGACATTTTGTGTCCTGGATGTGTCCTGGCTGGTGGGAAAAAAATATGATATGGATAGCTGCGACCAGGAAGCAATAAACAACAAATGCGAAACAATATCATAATATTGATCTGGAACTAGCATTAGAAAAGCATTTACCCTCTTATTCAATCGATAACAAGAAAAAAGCATCAATTCTATATATGTGCTTAAGGCTAATATATTACAGCTACCTTGTATCAAAATTAGACAAAGTCAAAGCTTTCAAATTTAAATGAAAAATTGATCTAAAGCCAAACCATGATCAAAGAACTCTTACTTTTGAAAATCGGTTGAGTTTTGACCAATTAATCATACTTGGAGCTTCGGATTACAATTTCCTACAGGATAATTCTTACTAATAATTCGCATAAGTTGCATTTATTTCTAGTATTTTAGTTCAATCAGATATCTGAGTAGCGAAATCCGTCAATGCAAAGCAAATCAAATCAAAAAATCTCTGATTTGACATTATCAATCCGTTGTGAATATTGTAGGCCTGTTGAAAGGGTTGCATCCATTTACATGTCACGGAGAGAACGGGATGTTGCCGATGTTGATGTTGATTGCGGCAACATATGTTTCTGTCACATTGTTTGTGGCGTGCAACAGTTTGGAGTTTGGCGATGTCCCCGAGCAAAAGACACGACTGCTGCCTGCCATGTCATGTCTCCCAGTTTGGCAATGAAGCATTTAGGCAAATTTTCGCACTCCTTTTGCTGGCTGAAAACAATTTACATAATTTCCAGCGATTTTCCGTTGTTAGTCGTTGTCCTCTTACTCTTTCTCTACCCCTTCCCCAACCGCTTTCCGTTGGTTGTTGTTGTTGATTGGCGCTGGCCAGCCAAATCTCTGATTTTCGATGTGCTGTTTTGTTAAAAATCTCAGCGAAAAACGATTGCGACTATCATGAATGTGGGCGTGGTCGGGTGTACGTATGCCCGCCCGCCCGCCACGTGACCGCACGCGTTGCGTTGAATTTTACACGCGCGAAGTGGCGGCCCCAGGGACTCAGGCGGCGGCAGGATCTGGCCCTGGTTTCGGTGCTCTGAGAGAGAGTGAAGGGAGCGGGAGTGGAGTGCAATGCAAATGGGGTGCGATTGAGGCACAACAAAAATTGTTTAAACTTTTTTTTTTTTTTTGGTTTATGGCGTTGTCGTCAACGAGGACGCGTGCGGCCAATAAGTCCTGAAGTCCTGAGGTCCTTCATCACTTCCGCTTCAGTTCAGTTCCGTGATTTTGCACAAATAATGTTTTGATTGCGTGGCAGCGTGACGTGTAATTATTATCGCCGCACACCATCGAAACAAGGCGCCCAAATGGTGTCGTGTTGGGGGCGTGGCACTGATGCTGCACAAAAATTGCAAAGCAATTAAAATGATTTGGCCAGCCTTAAAGTAAACAGCAGCAAAATCGGCAGCATCAACGATCTGTACAAGCTCATAAATTACTTTAATTAAAACCGCACGCAAAAGTTGGCAAAAAAAAAAGAAGAAAAAAATCGGAAAAACTTCCTTAAGGACACTCACTACAAAATCACAAATTAAAAATGGCTGCCGCTGTTGCTGCTGCCGAGCAGAGAATATAAAAGAAGAAAAAATTGGAATTTATGCAAATTATGCGCGGCAAGCAGAAGAATCCTTTGGCAGTGCAGACCAGCACCGACAGAAATTTCATTAAAAACTGCGCCGAAAATCTTTGATAAAAATTAAAAACTTTTGACGTCAGACACGCTGAAGGACAATTGACAGCAAATGCCAAGAAAATGGCAGGCTAAAAAAAAATATGAAATCGTGAAACAAGGAATTAAAACAAGCAATAATATGAAAATATTATGACGGGGGCTGTGCTGAATTATTTAAATATGCCCAAGCTGCTTTCATATCATCATTTTCTTTCTATTTTTTTTTTTTTTTGGCATATTCTTTTTTGTTTTTTTGTCATTTCTCTGGTAATTTTAATGCGTTTTTTAGCGCCTCCACAAAGGGTCCGAGCTGGGTTGAGGGCCCACCCACTGCGTGAGTCCAAGGACTCTGTGCGTCCTTCCTTCCTTCCTGCCCGGCCTGCTTTGCATAATTATATTCATTGAAAACTTATTTCCTTCAAGTTTGCAGCGAAGAAATATTAATAAAAAAAAGATTCAACTCTCGGCCAGTGAATTGAGTTACAGTTACACATGCATAGGCAAAGAGCGGGTGGAGCTAGGGGCGGAGGGGGAGAGGGGAAGAAAAATGATTTTGGCATTTAATT